TCCATACTATGGAAATGATGTACATTCTCAAAGTTTCCACAGGGATGGTTGGATCGTCAAAGGGATCAGTGACTGCTCTAACTTGCGGATATGGGGACCAATATGCAATAATAACTGCTTCCAACCTTACTTGAAGATTCCAATCAACAATCTCGTGGGTATCTAATTTGTGCTCATTGACTTCACTCAAAACATTTGCATGTCCAGCCTGCTCTGATGGTTGCTTTATTTCCTTTTCGTTTGAATGAGTTTGCTTTTCGGAACTTGGCTTCTTTTGAGAATCTGAGACTTGCTGATGTTCAACTTCAACATCTGATGCACTTGAAAGCTCCTCTGTTTTCTCTTTAGATTTAGATTTTTCAAAAAAATGACGAAGCTTATCCTTAAACAGTTGTTTTGGCTCTTTATAGTTGATGAGTTTCTTCCACAAGTCCAAATCTTCATCCAGAATATTGATATCATCATTGTGCTCCTTTACAGCCTCTTGCAAGATTTTGATTGCTTCTTCAGTTTTCATTTCCTCAATCTTTTCAAATACAAATGTTGCCTGTGGGGGTAAATCCTCAAACGAGTCCAAGGCATCAAAATGCAATCTTGCCAAGACAAAGTCCTTTTGAGCATTCGTTAGTGTTGTTCCAACTTCACCTATGGACAAAGGGTTTGATCTAGCTGCTTGTAAATCAATATCATGACTATCTAACTGTGTATGGCTTGTGTCACTTGCCAAGGGGTGAATACGTGGCTCCGTTTTCGACATGGTAGGTTCTGTAAAAGGTTGATTTGACGTACGCGCAAGTAATAGAACCCAAAGGGGTCAAATTGCTCGACTTATATACCGTTTCAAGTGATTAAATCTCATTGTTTCCTCCATGCTTACTCCTATTTAAAAATTTGCAGTCATTGCATTGTAATAGCCCCTACTCAATCCCGGTACTTATTCCGTACGGCATTTTCAGAATGTCAAAATGTCAAAATGTTTACTTTTGTGTTCGATTGCCAATTGTTTAATAGAGAGATATATTTTTGTTTTAAATTAAAACTAAGCGGCTCCAGTTTCCTTCACATGGCGGAGATAAAAAGTGTGGCGCCATACGGTGCTGTGCACCCCTCCCCCCCTACTCTCCAAGCTATACAAGCCATAATAATATGGTGTGAAGAGGAAACATCACATGACAGCATAATCTACTCTTGCTGACCTGAAGAGAGTTGCAAACGTTTTTTTCGGCTAAACAACATTTATCCTTTAACCGAAAATATATAGATATTAACCCACGAGTTTAGCTTTGCGAGCCACAGTTTGCACTCAATTTATGGTTTTCACAGTGTGTCACACCTTCCTCGCCGCTAGTCACCTTTATTCATAATAATTGCGCTATTGTTGAAAGCAAAAATTTCTTTTCATTTATTATTATTTTTGAATTAATTAGTAAGAAAGTCTAGCGATTCCACACACATCAATCCAAAACTAACCCAAGAAGATTGTTATCAATATACAAACCTTATACAGACTCGATGGGATTCGATTTTTATTGTTTTTCAAGCAGGAGGTAGATAAGCGAAAGCCTTAAATTTCGACATGATCAATTTACACGTACTAAGTTCAAATGTGTAAAAGGAAGTTGCGTACCTCGTCCCCATCTCCATAGAATCAAGAAGATAACTGGCCAAAAGCAACACACCTTCTAGTTATTGTGGCTTTCCTATCAGCAAATTGAAATTGATGAAAACTTCATTTCACGTGAAACGTTTTTTTCATTCTAAATAACAATAAGCGAATACAGAGCATACAAAAATCTATTATTAGTTCTGATTCGCACAAAGAGGTTGAAAGTGACTTTTTCCAACTCCGCGGCATCAAAATTTGTTTTTGTGCAATTGTGTCAAGAGGCCCATAACCGAAATTTCTTTTTCTTTTCTTTTTTTTTTTTTTTTCCCGCTAAGCTACCTGCTTCCGCGGGAAGCCGTGCTTTGTCGAAGTACAGGGGGTTCAACTGTGGTACTTTTCTTTGCTCATTCGGCTACCTGTGGTGGCTACATAGGTTTAGCAATTTAGCGCTTAATTCGTCTACATGTAGCTCTGTGGAAATACGTGTGTCTTATGAAAAAGATTTTTTATTTTTTGAAGACACGATGCAAAATCTTTCTTGAAATATAAATCAAGCGTATTACAAAGCATAAAAGTAGCTAGAAATAGCCACACGTAAAGCTACACTAACGATACCAATGATCATGCAAGAAAAATTGAATTTGAAAACGTTTGGTACTGAATATTTTGCTTCTATTTAGGTATCGAGTTAAAGAAATAGATTTGTTTTCTCTGAAACTTAAGAATTGATATAGTTAGAACCAGAGCAGTCGAAACGTACAAGTTCTTACAGTGGAAGGGTTGTAGATCTTTCTGTGTGACAGGGAAACAAAAGTTATTGAGAATATGTGCAAGAGTTTATATATATATAAGTCAAATTGTATTACACTGAGGTAGTTGTAGTCGACATTTATTACGAGGGATAGCTCTTTAAATGTGCTCTATAAACTAGACAGGAAACCATTAAGGATTCCAAAGACTATTTATAATGAATGGATCAAGGACAAGATTGCAGAAAGCATGACCAAATCAGCTGATGAATCAGGCGGTTACTTGCAGAAAGCATGACCAAATGCATGATCCATTACAAAACTGACGTTAATGCATCGCCAGTTGTTCCCTTACAACAAAGTCAAATCATGCGCTAGGAATAGTCCGCGTTTCAATCGTTTCAACGCAGATATATCTCTACTGAAGGTTCAGTCAGCGAAACGAGAGCATGGTTTTCAATACACCCGATAGGGCTTTGATTTATGAAGGGGTGTACAGGTTCAAAGTTACAAAACCTTCTAAAAATGCCAACATTCACAATATATTGTCGTCACGTGATAATATAGAACGTCCCCGTCGTTAATTGCGCTGAAATGCCGGATCTCTTTGACCCAGCGCATCGCAGTATCGCAAATGAGAGGAACGAAATGAAACGAGTCCATTGCACGGAACACAAAACTCAGTTTTTCTATTGATAATATGAGAATTTCAAAATGTTCTGAAGACGTGAAGTATAGAATTATTTTGTGACTCTGTTCACAAAAGTTTAAGTTCAAGAGATAGCTTGTTGTTGATCTTGAATCGTTTTCCAGTGAGATCTTGCACGCTCTACTTTGGGAGGTTTTTTTTTTTTTTTTGGTTTCAGTGTTCAATTTCAGCTTGCCAGGAATTTCGCATTCGGAAAATCTGCAAGATATTAGAGGGCATCGTTGGATTAATGCAGATCGGATTAATATTCTCTTGTATGCAGTATTTAGATTTTGTGGTTGAAGAAAAAAAGTAGCCAGAAAAATGTGTATCTACAACAGTAGCAGTAGTTGCCCAAATAGCGTGGACAATCATTTCGAATAAGGAAATTTAAGCCAGTAAGCAACGAGGCAGTACCATAGGAGTCGAGCTAATGACTTCGATTGTAGAGATGTCGTTCTTGATATCTCGAGACCACTATTGAGCAGCTGTCTTAGACACATGAAGCTGACTTTGAAAGTAGAAGAAGGTTGGGTCAATTAGTGTATGCTTGTGCCACCACATGTGGCTTTATTCAAACTATGTACACTGTTACACGTTCATTTTCTCTTATTTCATTATTAGTGGCGTGTTAAGGACACGTATGTATAAGTTTAAGTTTTGTAAACACGCACACTACCCTCTTAAGTTAAAAAATATTTTTTTTTTTTTTTTTGAGTGAGAGTACACTACTTAGGTTACACAAATACTATGAATAATACACAGTACTATACTACTATAGTACTATAAATATATGTAAACATAAACACGTTGTATGCAGCCTTTTACCAGCACACAGCCAAACAATGTACACACGCATTACACACGTGTTTGTAGCTGAACTGGACCACTTCTGTATCTTACAGTGACTTCTACTATACTCCAATAAGCCGCCACTTGAGTGAACTGCGTGACTGTAACATTGTAGCCAGCTAGAAAGAAAGAGCAAAACGTGCGTGTGGTAGTTAATATGGGAGATCACTGTGTTTTTGTTTTCTTTCTCTTTTTGTGGATTGAAAATTATACGTGTTTTTATTTATTTTCATTTTTTTCTTCTCACTTTGTAGTTTGTAGTTTGTAGTTTGTAGTTTGTAGTTTGTAGTTTGTAGTTTGTAGTGTGTAGTGAGTGTCCCCTGAAAAGAAAAAAAAAGAAAAAAAATATATATATATATTTAATACCACCAAAGGTATTTTCAACAAAATCAACAAAAATTTTACTTCTTTCTTTCTTTCTTTTCCCTCTTTGACCTCTATTGTCACTATAAAGTTATAGCTAACACTATCTTACTGAGTGCTAGTTGCTGCATCTTTTATTCACATTCACTCTTTTTTACTCACACACACACACAAAATGAAGGGATTGATTTTAGTCGGAGGTTACGGTACCAGATTGAGACCATTGACCTTAACTTTGCCAAAACCGTTGGTTGAATTTGGTAACAGGCCCATGATTTTGCACCAAATTGAAGCTTTGGCCGCTGCTGGCGTCACTGACATTGTTCTTGCTGTCAACTACAGACCAGAGGTTATGGTGTCCACTTTGAAGAAATACGAAGAAGAGTATGGTGTCACCATCACCTTTTCCGTCGAAGAAGAACCATTGGGAACCGCTGGTCCTTTGAAGTTGGCTGAAAAAGTGTTGAAGAAGGATAACTCACCATTCTTTGTTTTAAACAGTGATGTCATTTGCGAGTACCCATTCAAAGAATTGGCTGATTTCCACAAAGCTCATGGTGCTGCTGGTACCATTGTGGCCACTAAAGTTGACGAACCAAGTAAATACGGTGTCATTGTTCACGATAGAGATACGCCTAACTTGATTGACAGATTTGTTGAGAAGCCAGTTGAATTCGTTGGTAACAGAATTAACGCTGGTTTGTACATTTTAAACCCATCAGTTATCGATTTAATTGACATGAAACCAACCTCAATCGAAAAGGAAACTTTCCCAATCCTTGTTGACCAAAAACAATTGTACTCATTTGATTTGGAAGGTTTTTGGATGGATGTTGGTCAACCAAAAGATTTCCTTAGTGGAACCTGTCTTTACTTGACTTCATTGACCAAGAAACACCCAGAAAGATTATCCAACGAAAAATTTGTCAAGGACGGTAATGTTCTCATTGATCCATCCGCAAAGATTCATCCTAGTGCATTGATTGGCCCTAACGTAGTTATTGGACCAAATGTTGTTGTTGGTGAAGGTGCCAGAATCAAGAGATCAGTCCTTCTTGCCAACTCAAAGGTTAACGACCACGCTTGGGTCAACTCAACTATTGTTGGATGGAATTCAAGAATCGGTAAATGGGCTAGAACCGATGGAGTCACTGTATTGGGTGATGATGTTGAAGTCAAGAATGAAATCTACGTTAATGGCGCTAAGGTCTTGCCTCACAAGTCTATTTCATCAAACGTTGAACAAGAATCTATCATTATGTAAGAACAAAAACCAATGCAAAAGGGGAAAGAACTTGGACAGAAACCCTAATTGTTTGGATGTATTCTTACACGGACAATACACATAAACTAAAAAGAACTACTAATAATTAAAAAAAAAAAAGGGGCGATTTAATGATAGAGAAACTTGAGACATATTTGTAGAAAGAGCTCTTATTGAAGCAAGACTAGCAAAACCGAAATCCTTCAACATTGTAGAAAATCTTAATCTATACGAAACAAAACACATTGTCTTCCTTCATCTTTCCTAACTCCTCCCGCTTCCATAATGATCCAAAATTGCCCCGAATCCCGTAGTACAACTCTTTCTCAAAGACTCACTCAATGGTTTCGTAGAACTAAGATACTTCCACATCAACGTCTTTCCAATCAACGGATTCCCAACCACCCCCATCTTCTTCACCTCCCCCAGCTTCTGATTCACATAACTCAACGCCAACTCGCCCGTGCGCAACACCTCCAACACCAAAAGATCATTCTGGGGCACTGACCCTCTGAACCCCAGAAAAACCAGCTTCAACTCCTCCAACCCTTGATTCAACTGCTGCTTAGTATCGACATTCTTATGCCCCGACAAAATACTCTTGATTAATCCATCCTTCATATGGTTGAAATCGGTGTTTCTCACGGGGCACACTCTAGCGAGGAACCGCACACCATTGTCCAACAAGTCATACGCAACTTGGTCGGACTCGGATGGGTTGTCAATGATGGCTTTCGCGACATGAATCACGCCTTCATCATCAGGCAATGCCGGGTTGTTGATTGAGAATTCCTTGAGGATTTCCAAAGCTTGGGGGATATCATGCTGGTTTATATAGATACCGATTCCATACACTTTGAAACCGAGGAACGTCACCGTTCGGACTCCGTGTCCAACCAATTCAAATGGCTCGTGCGAGTATTCAGCGCTGGGGATCACGGTGGGGAACGCGGATATCGAGTCGTCAACGTCAATCTCATCTGCAAATGTACGGTATGGTTTACGAATTGGATCGTTGCCTTCGTGTGCTTTCTCGCGTATTTGTTGCTGTTGAGTGTCCAAGTTGATTATGTGATCCTGTTGTGGATGAACGTAGTGCAATTGGTAATGGTGTATTGCGTATGCCGACACAGCTAGTGCTGGGATGTACCTTACGGGTTTGGCTTTCAATAAAAATCTAAACATGGCTGTTTTGTAATTGAATGGAGTACAACGAAGGGGGCATGTATATGTAAGTATGGGGTTATAATGTTGAGAGAGAAAAAAAAAAAAGAAGCCAGGCGATGAAAGCAACCGACGGAGTAATCTTTTTGCTTTTTCTTCGTCTCTGCTTTTAATAATTGGGGATAATTCTCTTTTTGCGACCGGTTGCTACCATGCAAAATCGCGCAGGTTTATACAGAACCGATAAGAGTGAGTTGTAGACGACATCACAAAATAACTTTTAAAATTTTATACAAGACCAGTAAAAGGGTCCGCTACTGAATACTCACAATCTCGATATCTTGTCGCTGACCGAGTTTTCACTCAACAAAGTGAGCCCACTGGCCAATTGCGCCTTGTATATATCCTCCCACTTTTTCCACACTTGTTCACAAGATTTTACTTCGCAGTCTAACCAACTCACTCCCAAAGCACCACGCCCATCGCCCGCGTCAGTAGCAGTAGCAACATCCCATTCAGATGCCAATCTTGCAGCTAAATAACCCACCATCGTATCTCCAGCGCCAGTTACATTGACAATCGACAAATCCTGATTCTGTTTCGGCGCGGCAAAGTACTCAACCACGACGCCCAACTTGCTTGAAACATCATTGACTACGGTGGCAGTAGGCTTGTACTTGGATGTCGTTGGCACGCTCTTCAAGTCCTTGTGGTTCACCACTATACTAGCCAACATGGCTCCGCGATCACCCAACTTCACCAACACATTTTGGAAAAATGGCAAAAGGTGGAAACATTGTTGGAAAACGCCTTTTGCATACAACGAGGCATCAATTTGATTTAGTTTATCCCTCATTGACGCATCAATGTTCATAGCATCAAGTATGGGGAACCAGCGATCGAGATCAAACCGGTGATGTTTTTCCATTGACTCATACATGGTGTTCAACTCTTCAATGGTTGGAGTCACCAATTTAATCTTGTTATGGGGGAATGTACTCAACTTCACTTTGCCCAACCGCTCAGCTTTGACATACGAGGTGGGTTCCACAATGAAATTTGGACTACTTGCCCGTCCCTGAAAATGCTCAATTATATTGCCAATCGACTTCAGTGACAAATTACAATCCATTAGTACAACACGAGGTTGAATCTGGTTGATCTCTTCAATAACCTGTTGCAGGAATTCTGTATCTTCAATAATGGACATATCTGCACACGCAACGATCAAATCACCCTTTTCGTCATGCACGCACGAGTACTGAGCACTGTTGCATGACCCTTTGGTAAGCTTCACATTGATTACACCTTGATGCTCAATCTGATGGGCAATAGTGTCACCTGCAAAGTCTGTGCCGATACGAGAAATGAATTTGGTTGAGTTGGAGATATAACTGCTAGCCAATGCCAAGTTGTACCCCACTCCTCCTATAGAATTTGTAATTTTACCAATGTTGGAGTCCTTGAGTTTTGTTTGGGTCGTCATTGTGCTTATTGTATCTAATGCAACTGAACCAACAACTAATAGATTGACTGATGGGTCTGTATCCGCGTGAATGGCGCCATGTGGTTTAGGTTCACCTGTTCTGGCCACTGTTCCTCCATTTTCTATCAGTTCTGTAGCATTCTTGTCCTCTGTTGCTTTCTCCTACATCTTTTTCGTCAGTAATCACATCCTCTGCATGTCTACGTCCTTCTCTCTAACATACCAACTTGTAATACTCATTTGCAATTACTGCTGCAGCTCGCGCATTGTTCTTGACTAAGCTAATATTGCAGTCAACAGATTTTCCCTTTGTTGCACTGGCTATTTCACTAAGCAAATACGGTGTCAACTGCTTACCCGAGATTCCATCCACTCTAGCTTTATCATTCGCTTTGTCAATAATGTTATCAATAAACTGCGACTCCAACGCAGTTTCCTTCGGGGGAGGTATGCAAAACACATTCCCCGATTGCAAACTCATCAATTGCTGATTATGCACAATCTTTGCCGCTTCGCCAAAACTGCCAAACGCAAATGGCGAAGCAACGGAAGATTCTCGACAATAGAATCCAGGTATCTTCAACTCCAGCACCGGTTTCCTATCCTCATTGAACGTACCCACAAATACTCCTTGCGTTTCCAAAAACTCCAATGTCTTGTCAATATCCAAAATTGACTTTGGTCCCGCACAAATCACACTCACTGGCGTACGCCCCAACTCAGTTATATCGGCAGATACATCCATTGAAAACTGACCGGGAACATCGCGATGCACACCGCCCAATCCACCGGTGGCAAAAAACTTGATCCCCATCAAGTGTGATAGAATCATAGTCAGTGCAATTGTCGTTCCACCATTTAGTTTATTAGCCATCACGTAGCCTATATCACGACGGGACACTTTTGTTATCGAGTCTCGTGGCAATTCGGCAAATTGATGGATCTGCGATGTAGATAACCCAACGTGAGGTACCCCATTTATAAATGCACATGTGGCGGGGGTCACTTTGTGTTCTCGTAGTATGTCCTCGACAGATTGCGCCATTTCGAGATTTTGAGGGTACGGAAGACCATGTGAGATTATGGTGGACTCGAGCGATACTATAGGCTTTCGAAGATTGAGTGCATTCTTGACTTCTTTGGACAATCGGATGATGTTTTTCATCTCTTTAGCAAGAGACCTTGGTTAAGTAAATTTTTCAATGTTTGACTTTTTGTTTTGGCAGGTTTTATTTTTTTTTTTTTTTTTTTGATCCACTGTGCATCCAAGTCCGACATCATGAAGATTGAAGAGGTACCGGAGACGTCTGAGGCAGTTGACTGTGCCAAGGTACTACGGAATTTGAACAATGTACCACAGTCCCCAGAAACGTACTACCATGATCTTGTAAAACTTGACTCTTCAACTTATTGGAATCTAGATGTTGTACGAGCAATATCATTACATGCAAATCCGAATTTGCCGTGGTGTTCGGAAACCAATGCATTGATTGTTGAGTCAATTGTACTCAAGAGGGATGTCAACGAGTACCTTGATGCATTTATTCAAAACGATTTCTGTTCCCGTTTGAAAAAGATTGAAAAATTAGCTCAGTGGGGCAAAGGCAAGCAGCTGGCTTTGAAACCTCGGCTTTCTTTCCAGGATGAAAAATTCGATGCAATTCCATTATCACAGGCGTGGTTTTTAATTAATGTTACAAAGAATGAGGACAAGGAAGTATGCAAGTTGATCTTACTACTCATCATTGACTGCTTGCAATTTGATATCCCAGCCAAGATCCAAGCATGCAAGGTGTTGGAACACTTGAAGATACTCAACACCCCATCAATACGGAATTTGATACAACCATTGAGAGGAAACTTGGCAAAATGTTTAAATCACATACCTAGTATAACGTCAGAATCAGACTCAATTCTGTTATTGTCCGAAGCTTATCCATGCATATACAGACTCGACAGTGAGTACGGCACCGATTTGAACTACATTGAGACGATTGCAACTATTTTGTCTTCCATCAGTCATGTCACCAAATACCCCAAACTAGTGTCGTTTCTTTTAGATCAATTGAGAGTGTGCATCAGCCGCATCGGTAACAGCGTATTGATAAGCATATCGAAAATATTTTACACCTTGAATCAAATCATCACCAATATCGGCATCCTAGAGCTGCTGCCATCGATCATCGAACATGCGCTAGATGTGGAGAACGACATATTACAACTTGAATCGCCGCTCGTGTACTCCTTTGTGTACGATCTCCTTGGCGCATACTACATACTAAAAAAGAGGGTCGAGACGTACAACGTTGAGGAACTAAGCGATCATATACAGAAAAACCTAGCCTCATTGAGAAAATTGGCAATAATTTGTGATCAATTATCAGATTTCGAGGATATACAGGATTCTATAAACAAGATTTGATTAACGAAATCGTCAAATATCCACACAACTCTCTATCTCCCTTGTAAAGCTTCAACCACTTTGATGTTTGTATCCAAGAACCTGTTTAGACAGTTCACCAAACACTGTTCTTCTCTATTATCCAAAGTTGATGATGTTATTGGCTTATCTTTGTTGCATTTCTTGAAACACATGTCAGTGAAATTGTGAATCGATGATTGGACTTTTGATTTTGATTGTTCGGCTTCGATGAACTGCATCATCTCTTTTCTGCTCTCCGGATCAAGGCTCTGCAATGCAGAAGGTGATATAGTTGACATGGTTGTGTAGTGTTCGTAGGTGAAGAGGGTGTCACTATGTACATCTTCAAATTTTTATTCTTTTTTTTTTTTTTTTTTTTTTTTTTTTTTTTTTTTTTTTTTTTTTTTTTTTTTTATTTTTTTTTTTTTTTTTTTTTTTTTTTTTTTTTTTTTTTTCGTTTTTCTGTTTTGTTGTCTTTGAGTCAATACCAATGGACAGGCTTATCAAGGTATTGCAGCAGCCGGAGGTGAAAAATGATTTGGACGAGGCATACATCGTCAGACTCAGTAAGGACCTAAAGCGTGTACAGGAGCATACCAAACAGGCAGACAGAGCAATCAGGTCATTTGATAATAGTTTAGAAGCGTCTGCCTCACTTGAAAAACGAATCATAGCATTGTATGTCTCCTATGGTAACATTCCATACACTCCCGACAAGAATGACACCATAGCGACAGCAGCTACTTCGGTTACTCTTGAAGAGATGGTTGAAGAAAAGAAAAAGGAGGTATCAAAGTGTAGTGAAGAGAATGCCACTACAGAGTTTGATTTCACCACAGAAATTGCCGAATTAAAAAAACAGCGAGCTACTCTACTTCTGCAAATTGAAGAATTGAGCCATTTGATAAATAGGGAGTTCAAATCGCCCTTGCCCGCCAAAATAAACGAGTCTTTGGAACTACAGAAAACACTCTTCAGCTACTTGAAGAAAGTTTTGATCAAATATCTTGCGATTTCAGATCGTGTTTTGGGATCAGTCAACACAAAAGATCAAGTGAAGGAAAAAGTAAGAGTTTTATGCAACTTCTTTGAAGCTCTATTGACAGGGCAATGGATGACTCTTCCCGAGGGTGTGAGCACAGTGGTGGAAATTTTGATGCGAGATGGAGTACTATTGCATCGTGACAACCAAGTGAAGTTGAGAGGATTTGATGGTGAAATTTGAGTGTCCCATGTTTAGCCTGAAGTAGTGTTACGATTCAATAGATCATGCATCGCGGTGACATTCAAAAGCCATCGCTCGGACCTCGGGATGTGGAACAATTGCGGAGATGTATTTGCGGAGATTGCATATATCCGCCTCCAATCTCCGTAGACATGGTCGGACCAAAACGTTAAAAAACCACAAGTATCTACATGAGTAATGGAGACCACCTCTGCATTGCAAAGGTGAACGCTGGATCCTCTTTGTCTTCATTTAGTCTTCTCTAGCTACAAAGCTCATCTAATAGTATATATGTATAATGCAAACGATTCTTCTGTTCCTAGGAGTTCAAAGAGATCAATTTTCTTTGGCATCAGAGCGAGAGAGAAGAAGAAGAAGAATCGAAAAATAAAACGAGACAACTTTAAAAATAACTTCACAGAACCAAAACGAATTGGATCGTTCAAGGGTTTGTCACATCTGGTGCTTTTCTCTCTGCTCCTCGCCCGTTCCCCACCCCCCCCAAAATCATGCAGACAAGGAATAGAAAAGTTTTGAGCTGCGACAGGTGTCGTAGAAGAAAGATCAAGTGCGATAGATCGCAACCTTGTAAAACATGCAATCGATTAAAAAAAGATTGTCGATATACCTTGGCCATGGAAACAAAGGATGCTTCGAGATCCAAATTTAAAGAAGGTGGCGAATCTGCAGGGACTACAGGAGCATCTGCCTTCAACTCAAATTCTTTGCCAACTGTACCGAATGGAGATCCAATGTCCGGGTATGCACCAAGTAACAACTCCGTAAACAGCACAGACAATGCGCAAGTGGAGACGCACAAGAGCAACGCTGATGCAAATGAAACACTTAACCTCAAGCGGAGAGTACAAGAATTGGAGAAGCAGTTGAGAGCCGAGCAGTTATCCAAATGGAACAGAACAAATTCAATCACAGCTCCAACCTTGCAAAGGACGGGTACACTATTGCCTGGTCATATCAACTTCAACTACAGCTTCACGGATGATGAGCCTTTACCTTTGTCAAATAGACCCTTCCCATTCATGCTTTCAATGAGGCGCGAGGGCGGTTCAAAATTGTTGTACAACCTTTTGGCAAGAGATGGCAAGAGAGACGGGCACTTGTTCACGTCGTCCCTCATGCTTTCCGAGCTTGATCCGTCAAGACTGAACATGCTCAAAGAAAAGGCTCGAATATCGTTAGGCGATTTTTACATTCCGTGCCCCGGTGACCTGACTTTAAACACAGAAGAGTTGAAACGGAAGATCGCCTTGAACCACTTTGGATTGACGTTTGTTACTCCTCAAGTTGACTTGAGAGACCCTATAGCTGGTTACTTTAGCTTGATACCACCGGCATGGGTGTGTAAAAAATTACTCGACATTTTTTTCAAAGAGCTCTATGTATTGATTCCAATTATCGACGAGCAAGACTTTAGAGCAGCATTGAGTAGAATTTTGGGACCACAGCTCGAAGAAAATTACATCAACACCTTTCCCAATGTGGACTCCGCTGATGATTTAGCCATTTTGGTCATGCACTTGATTATATTAAGAATCCTGTACCTTTCGTTATTGGACTTGCATGGCAATAGTCGATCATTATTGGTTCGATACCCTGTTACATTTGATGCATTCAGAGCGGCAGATACTATCATGAAAGAGTTTGATTTTTCCTGTCTGCAAAGCTTGACTGTACTACAAGCTGGAATCATAATTAGAACTTATGCAATAGTTGCTCCAGAGGCACAACTCACTGGAAGAGTTGCACAGGTCAAACAAGGAACTATTACCGAACTTTGCTACGCCCTTTCGTTGAACCGCGATCCTTCGTGTTTCCCGGAGCAGTCTCCAAAAATGCAAAACTTACGCCGCAAGATATGGCACTATGTTGCCCGTATGGACATTAGCTCTTCAGTAATCTATGGAACTGTTTTGTCAACGGATGCACACACGTATGACTGCCAATTGCCTCGGTTTCTGGTTGAGTCAGCAAACTGCTATGATCTTAATATTGAACAGCAGATTATTGAGTCGTTTCGTAGATCATATGATGTATTTCAGATCGGCAGAAAATTGGCAGAATATCATTTGCTTGCTAGTGAGACTTTTCCAATTGAACAAGTGATTAAGGTGCTAGATAATTTAGAGACAAGTCTCACCGACACATGTGGGAACGTGAAACCGTTGTTAAGTAAACAAGTTGAAAACATTCTGAGTGTAACAACAATGCTTGTTTATGTGCAAATGAAACTTTTCATGGCTTACACATATTATTGTATACACCTTTACTATGAAAGTCAACTGAATCAACACTTGCTGTCAAAGTACTTTCTCAAAACCACGAGCATCTTGCTACAAGACTTGGGTGATTTGAACATGTTTGTTTTCCAACCCAATTCGTCATTGAATTTACAAACTACAGGGAGATTAACGGAGTTTTACTTACATCTTAGTTTGATGATATTTACAGGTATTCGTTTAAGGCTAAAGTGCTACATGCGCATTAAGTTTCCAGCAAGGGAGACTACCGAGAGAGACCTCGAGCATGAAATACTTTATCAGTTGGAGGAGAATTTAAAATTGTACACGCACGAGCAAGCAATTAAACTTGGGTATTTGGCGAGCAAGTTCAGGTATTCATTGATGTTGAGAGGAATACATATGATCACCATCAAATTATGTGATCAATTCCAGTATTTGTGCGATGCCAACACTGGGCAAGCCATCAAAGACGCCGCCATCAAGTTACCCCTCGATGTTTTGCAAAAATTTGGTCAAAAACTTGATATTTACAAATTGCCCAAAACTAATGAGTTATTTGACTTCAGTGATGAAGGTTTGATTGCGGAAATGAACAGACAAAACTTTTGGGATCAATTCAATGTGATTGAAAACGAGGAGACTGTAACCAGTGCGTGGATTGAAAAGACAAAGAAATTCAACAGGTTTGCAGACGAGATGAGGCTCGGATTCAATTACAACCTTGGATTTGATTTGCCTACCCATGAACTAAACCTTTTTTCAAGTTGATATAGATGATATGCCCAACAAATGCAAATCTTTTTCAGTCTATAAGGAAAAGAAACTATTCTATTCTAACACGATTGGCCTCTTTTGCGCCATATTCTATAAGCCGACAAAATTAAAACGTAACTCACAAACAATGAAAATGAAGTAGCTTTAAAGTAGATTTGCAACCTCCCAACGTCATTCCCATTTTGACCGGCATCGGCGACTTTCCCATAAAAGAGGGAGAAAATAATCGATCCCATGGCCGGCGCAACCATGAATGAACCCCACGTAGAGCCCATAATATCAATGCCCCACACTGACGCCACCAAGGTTGGGTAAATGGTAAACATTCCTCCATATGATATACCGTTGAGCACCACATTGTTGAGCCATTGGCCACCAATACCGCAACACACCGAAGTTAACAAGAGTGGGATTGAACTATATCCTTTGCTCTCCAACACATCAGTCAACCCTCCGAATACTAACCTAGCTATGGTTGAAGACGTTGCCAAGACACTGACTTTATCCGAAAGGTTAGATTTGAGATCTACCGGCTCCAAAATAGCAACAATGGAACTCAAATTATTTTGATAGCTCTCCATGGGACCGATATTCAATATGAGTGAGATCAAAAGCACCCATGCCGATACATCTCTCAAAAAAAGTATGAACCTCTTTTTATGATTTGGGGGATCAACAGATCTGGATGATCTTTGAGGTGTCAAGTCGTCTTGTAATAGCGGGGTTGTTGCATCATCAACTGCAGTCTCATCTAGATCAAAAATCACATCTTGCTCCACGAGAACAATAGAGCTGGACACAAAACTCAACACCCCTACAATAGCATACAACCATGCAAAAAAACGGAAAACCTTGGCCAAATCCAAAATATCTCCATCCAGTTTGTAAATCAACCTAAAGTAATTCAATTTGAGTAATTGTGATCCAATCAATGCACTCAATCCATAACAAGTGACTGGCAACGAGATTGCCAATCCTTTATGCTTGGGGAAAATCTTTGCACAAGTCAACAAGCTTGAGAAATATAGCGATGATGTAGCTAAACCAATCAAGCAAAATGTACCACAATACAACGCCAATTTATTACAACCGATTCCTACCAAATAGCTATTGAATGCATAGCTGGGCACGAAGAACCAAACAGATAAAAATGACAATATTGAAGGTCCGTAACAATCTGACAAGTAACCCAAGGCTGGAAGACACAAGTACATCCCGCCGGCAGACAATGAAGCAATCCAATTTATCTCGAGGTACGAAAGTCCAAGCACATTGTGGAAAGAAGGGCCAAATAGCGTGAATAGTAAAATCGAGCCTGATACAAGACAGGAAAATAGGGCCACTGCAAATGCAGCGACCCGTAGATTAGTGGTTGATATATGCTGAGATAAATATGACTTTATCAGGTATGAGATATCCTGGACCCATTTCATTTGAAAGTGTGGTAAGATATATATATATATATATATAGGGACTGCAGTGTGCTTTGGGCAAGTAGATCAAGAGTTTTCAGTCCTCCATAACTAAGTGATGCGGAATTGAGTCAGAAATTTGGAAAACAAAAAGAAACTCAAACTGGTCCTCTTATATACAGTACTGGAAACGGATACTCTTCAAAGATGGGGTTTATAAGTACTCACGATTATATTCAAATCTTCTTAGAGTAGCATCTACGTATCAAGCTATCTCATCTATCGACATTTCCATTCAAACATTCTATCTCTTACAAAGTCAATTTCCTATTTATAGCAAAACTCTTTTTCAATTTTTCATCACACTTTTTCAAAATATCGTCAGCCAATACATCAATCGAATGGCTGTAGAGCATATTATTGAGTCTTGATGGTTCAATAGGTAACCTAAATTGCGACTTCCATTCGTCAGTATCCAATTCTTTTTCTCCGTTCTTGGCCCTCTCCAAATTATCAACTTTCCTTTGGTGTTTCCACTGTTGGATCCTTCCTTGTTCTTTTGAGTATTGTCTTTGATAGTAGTTGAAATTGTTTTGGTCATAGTTGAACGAGTCTACTTGTCCATATAATGATTCCAACAAGTGAGCAGTTGAGTTGGAGTTTGACAACAAGTTGAGGTTATTGTAATCGGATTCGGATATCGAAGATGGCTTAGCCGATGCTAAATATAAGTTGACCAAAGATTGACTCTTGACGTCAAGCTCCAACTCGTCAAATATATTCAAGTACGATATCTTGTTTTTCTCCAAATCTCTTGATTTCCACTTTCCATCAACATATGCATTCATAAAGCCAGTTGACAACCTAAGTGCTTTCAAGTTTATTTCCTGACCAATGCTGGACATATCATGGATCAAAATGAAAACGTTTGGATTTTGTAATTGTTGTTGTGCCACAGCTTCAACCAATTGACTGGTTACAAAATTACCAGAAAGAGTGGATTGAAACCAACCTTGAAATTCAACACCATAACCCAATTTTTTGTAATTTTCTAACAAATCCTTCTGGTACTGGCTTCCACTTTTCGATTTAAAAGAACCTCCTTCGTATTGATCGGGGTATGGGAATGGGAAAATGTGAGTGATGTCAACAACCTTTTCATCTTCAAACCCCAACAATGCACCCGAAAAGATGGATGGGTAATGTTCTGATGTATGCCTAAGTAAAGACAACAACACCGAGGATGACAAAGTAACAGTATCAACTGTAGGTGGAGTATATTTGTTAGGCATGGCTGTTGCTAATGACTCCTTGTCTTATCAGCCTATTTCAAATTGAAAATTTTTTCTTCATTGAAGAAGCGTGAGAAGATTGAAAAGAAAAGAAGAAGAAGAAAAAAAAAAAAAAATTATTCATTAGTAGATACTTCTACAGTCATTGAACATCCCAATTTTAAAGAGACATTATACGCCACTGCAGTCATGTCTGAAGTTGATAAAGTTGCTGAGCAAGTCCAAAAGACATACTTGGACGAAGCCACTGGTGAGCAAGTTTCCAAAAGTGAGTTGAAAAAGAGACAAAAGCAAAGAGCCATCGAGGCTAGAAAAGCTCAAAAAGCACCAGCAGCCGCACAAGAAGGCGCTAAAGCTTCTTCTAAAAAGAAGAATGAGTTTGCTGATTTGAATCCAAATCAGTTCCACGAAATCAGGTCACGTCAAATTGAAGAATTGAGAGAAAAGAACAATGCAGACCCATCTGCTTTCAATCCTTATCCTCACAAATTTGAAGTCACCAAGAGATTGCACGACTTTGTCAAGGAGTATAGTCATTTGAAAAGAGGAGAGTCCTTGAAAGACATTACTCTTCAAGTCACTGGTAGAATCATGACCAAGAGAGAATCAGGTTCAAAATTGAAATTCTACGTTTTGAAGGGCGATGGTGTTGAAATACAAGTTATGGCCCAAGCCCAAGATGCCGAATCACCAGAAGCGTTTGAGGAAATGCACGATATCTTGAAAAGAGGTGATATAATTGGTGTTACTGGTTACCCGGGAAGAACTACTCCAGCCAAGGGAGGTGAGGGTGAATTATCTGTCTTTGCTCAAAAAGTTCAATTATTGACACCTTGTTTGCACATGTTACCCACTGAGCATTATGGTTTCAAAGACCAAGAAGCTAGATACAGGAAACGTTATTTGGATTTGATCATGAATGATTCAAGTAGGGAAAGATTTAGAGTTAGATCTAAAATCATTCAGTATATTAGAAAGTTTTTGGACCAACGTGATTTCGTCGAGGTTGAAACACCAATCTTGAATGTTATTGCTGGTGGTGCTACCGCCAAGCCATTCACCACTCATCATAATGATTTGAATATGGAAATGTTTATGAGAATCGCTCCAGAATTATTTTTGAAGGAGTTGGTTGTTGGTGGTATGGATAGGGTTTATGAAATCGGAAGGCAATTTAGAAATGAAGGTATCGATATGACTCACAATCCTGAATTCACCACCTGTGAATTTTACCAAGCATATGCTGATGTATATGACTTGATGGATATGACCGAATTGATGTTTTCGGAAATGGTGAAGGAAATCACTGGTGATTACAAAATCACCTACCACCCAGATGGACCAGAAGGAGAAGCCATGACTTTGGACTTCTCAAGACCATGGAAGAGAGTCAATATGATTGAAGAGTTGGAGAAGGTTTACAATGTTAAATTCCCAGCTGGTGATCAATTGCACACTGCTGAAACTGGCGAATTTTTGAAAAAAGTGTTGAAAGACAACAATTTGGAATGTTCACCACCATTGACCAATGCTAGAATGTTGGACAAATTAGTGGGTGAATTGGAAGATGCATCAATCAACCCTACTTTTATCTTTGGCCATCCGCAAATGATGTCACCCTTGGCCAAGAAGGATAGAAAGATTCCTGGACTATGTGAAAGATTCGAGGTGTTTGTTGCCACCAAAGAGATCTGTAATGCATACACAGAGTTGAATGATCCATTTGATCAAAGAGCAAGATTCGAGGAGCAAGCTAGACAAAAGGCTCAAGGTGATGACGAAGCTCAAATGATTGATGAAACCTTTTGTAATGCTTTGGAATATGGGTTGCCACCAACTGCTGGTTGGGGTTGTGGTATTGATCGTTTAGCTATGTTCTTGACCGACTCCAACACCATTAGAGAGGTCTTGTTGTTCCCAACCTTGAAACCTGATGCTTTGGTCTTGAAAGGTGAAGAATTTTTGAAAACAGAGGAATAGATGGAGGGGAGTTCCGCGTATATAGTTGTTATTTTGACTAGATAGAGAATCAATACATATACAAGTGATTTGCATTACCTTCTCGTTAATAAACCGTCCCTCTTCATTTCTAGTGCCTTCTTGTATGGTGGTGCAGTTGGCCTTTGAACTGGATCCAAAGTTATCGACTCCAGATCCAACGAGTACGTAGCATCAGAATCAATGTCGTTAATGTCACCACACGCAACAAACTCCACCACCAACCTCTCATCTTCCTCTTTATTATCAAATACATCCCTATTGTGTTTGATTCCAGCCCCTTCGAAAAACTCATCTGTCAGTTGATTCAAATCTAATTTTGGCGTCCAATTAGGTATAGGTTTGTACCCTCGACACACAATAAATGCCTCCAAACTAGTGCCTCGTGAACTGCGAGGTTTAGCGCAATAAACCTCCGTAAAAAATTTCAGCAACTGCTTATACATCAAATCTATATCTCTGCCACGGAAGATCTTTGCCACAAACGCTCCACCAGGCTTTAAAATGCAGGTGGTTAATTGGAAAGCCGCCCACACAAGTTGATGCTGCACGTACTCGTCTAAATCATGTAGACCAGTGACATCAGGTGCACCATCACTGCATACAAAATCTGCCAATCCGTCATCATCCCCATCTCCATCTCCTCTGAAACAGTCCATGATCTGTTGCAATGTTTTTGGGTGAGTGATATCAGCTTGTAAAGTAATGACATGGTCTATTGGGGTCATTGGCTGTAAGTCAACAGCAACTATTCTGGCATCCGGGTTTGGGCCAAGTTTATGACTAAGTACCTGCGACCAAGAACCTGGGGCGGCACAGAGATCTACAACACGAGTGATGTTGTTTAGTAGATTGAACTGTTGGTCTAATTGAAGTAGTTTGTATGCTGATCTTGCTCTGTATCCATCTTCCTTAGCTCGTCTATAGTACAAGTCTCGTTTATCTTTGCTGGTTTTCCCCATGACACTCCAACACTCTCAAAAGGGTACGATGTGTAAAGGCATCTTCTTTGGTGCGCTTTTGCAATCAAAATCTTCAACAAAGGGAGAACTGAGAAGAAGAAGAAGAAAAAAAAAAAAATTTTTGGAAGGTTCAAAACGGGAGAGTGGAAAATTTTCAATGGTAGTACTAAGCTGCTAGCTTTCAAGAAAGACATGTTACATCCATACAGGCTACAGAGTAATGTTCGGTTGTTCTCTACCAGAGGCTACGTACTTCAAAGATTTCTCACTCCTAAGGAGCTAATCTCCAAAACCAAGCAAGAACAACTTGAAAATCAACAATTCCAATCTCAATTACGCCAAAATCAATCACCTTACACCCCCAGAACGTTAAGTTCACATACCACATACCCTGAAAACAACAAACGTCCTATCCCGCTCAATGTTGAACTCTTACAATACAAACCCTTGAGGTTACCACAAACATACGGTGATGAAGTGGCCACGTTACATTTGAGAGGATACGACGATGATGATTTGATCCGTATGGGTGAATTTGCATTGCGCTCTGCTTACTACTTGGGTATACCAATGTCTAAATTGACTTCTCTCAAGACTGAAAAGAGATTATATACCGTGATCAAGTCACCTTTTGCTCAGGCCAAGACAAAGCAAAATTTCCATCGTACTACGTATAATAAACTGTTGGTGGCTTATGATGCCAATCCTGAAGTCGTTGATTTGTGGTTGAGTTACGTGAATAGGTACAAGTTGCAAAATGTGGATATTAAAGCTACAATTGTGGCGAGAGAAGGATTGGATTATAATCAAGAGTTGGCCAAGTTAGAGGAGTTTGAGTTGCCTCAAGCTTATGAAGGTTTGGAAGATCCAGTTGCTAGGAAAGTGAAGGAATTGTTACAATCAGAAGAGTTTAAGAAAACTTTATAAATTCTTGATAAATTTTCCTGTAAATACACATTTCAGTTTAAGTGAAAAAAAAGATCGGCAAGCAAGTTTAACCATAGGCATCCCATCTTTCTTCGGCGTCTTCTTCAGAGTCATCCTCTCTAGCTTTTCTAATTTCTTCTTCAATCCGTTTCCTTCGATTTTCTTCAACTTCCAAGACATTCGTTCTACACATTGGACACGTTGAATTTGTCATTAGCCACGGTCCGATGCATTCCAAATCAAAATAATGTTTTGAGTTTTTAACTCCACAGGGTAATTTGACAATTAAGGGATATTTGTCATCCTTGAATTTGTTGGTGCATATTGGACAAAACTCATCATCTGATAATTGAGAAACAGGTACTCGTTCTAAAGTGTCGAGAAATTCGGCATTGACTCCCTTTTGTTTAGGATTTGAGTCCAATATATTCAACAACGAATCAGCAAGGTCAGAATTATCCAAGCTTCGCAATTGATTCAATGCAGCCGATATAGATTCAAGTGAGGTTGTAGATTCGGTGAATCGATCTTCGAATGAGGGTACTGCGTCACTATTGTGGTCGTGATAGGTTTGATGAGAGTGGATAAACGAGTCGATAATGCCACTCAATGTTTCATGGTGTCTGCCTCGTCGTTGGGAGTCGTCCTGCACAGGTTGTGTGCGTGTAATGTTGTGTTCCTCTTGATTTGGAAAGTTAGTAATATAAACTTCACAGTCTCACTGGTTTCGACATTTCACGTACCTTCATATGTAGACATATTCTTAAAGTTGCAAAGATCTATGGTTTGTTTGGTAGAGATTTTCTTTTTTCTGTATCTTTTGACGGCAAAAATGTTCCATTCACCAAGACAGTAGTAAGCAAGGATATAATTTACATCATCAATATCTCAATGCAAGATTACCTATTTAAATGCTACACTTTGTATCAACTATATACATCTCTCACTGGTACTAACCCCTCGAGCAGTGACTTTTCGTCATGACGCTTTGCGCCAGTTTCAGTTTCAGTTTCAGCTTCCTCTTTTTCTTCCTCTTCTTCTTCTTCTTCCTCTTCTTCTTCGCCTTCCTCCTCCTCCGGTGCGGCCTCTTTTAAGTCACTATTATTAGAATGGTAGTGATTGAAATAATCAACATGTTTAATGTTACCTGCATTGCTCAAAAATAATGGCGTCATTGGCGGATCCTCGATTGGTGTTTGCACCGGATTCAAAACTGGCGAATCATCCCCTTTGACTGCTCTATAAATGGTACCAGTACCAGCTTTATGTACAATGTACTGAGGTTGCTGATACAGCTGTAAATGCAGATGGAGATGTGTTTGTGAATGGGCTCTATTTTTCATTCCAGTGGCAGTAGCAACAGCGACGATGCCTGAGCTTGGCGGTGTCTGAGAAGACAACCAGAATCGTGATGGTGACCCACCTAAAGAGACGGGATCTAGATTTGGTGAATCGGGAACTGTGCCTGGAGTAGATAGCAGAGCGGTATTAGTATTTGCATTCGTGTAGCTAGACGGTATTCCTATTGGTTGGAAGCCAGTAGCATCAAAAGAAGATGAATTGGAAAGTTGTTGCGAATGATATGTGTGTTGTTGCTGCACGGGCGGAGACGTAGTGTCGGCTCTTTGGTAAGGCTGTAGCCTCTGTAGATTCAAATATGACGTGGTACGGGAAGTTTTAGGTACAGAAGAAGACTTCTGCTGTTGATGTTGCTGTTGCTGTGGTTGCTGCTCGGTGAACTTTAAAGATACGTCCTGATTTAAAGAAAGCAAAGATATGGTGGATGATGACGGTATTAGCTTCCCATCTAAGTCCTTCCCCACCGAACTAGCCAAAAGCCGTGGTTCTGGATGATCCATGTACCGTGTGCTTGCTGCGTCCTCTTCTTCTTCAGTTAAAGTTTCATTTATGCGTAACATCGGATGGTCCTGTGACATCAAGGGATATTTCTGTAGCTGGTAATGCAGGTGCTGCAGTAGCTGGGGTTCCGAGTACAAGTCTGCTTGTTCCAGCAGTGGTGTTGTTGTGGCAGCTGTAGCAGAATCCTTTTCACCTTTTAAACTAGTTGAAAGTAACGATCGCCTTTGCTGACGTGTTGACGAATCACCATGACTCTTCATTGTTGAACGTTTAAAGTTGTGGGTCTATGCTTCGAGAGTACTTCTAAGCTTATATGAAGTTCTATATGTCCATGTGTCTGTGTATACTGAATGTATAAAAAATTATTAATGTTGACTGATTGAATAAACCTAAAAGATTTCAATGTTACAGTCACAATACAGTAATTTACTATACAATACAATGCAATACAATACAATACAATACAATACAATACAATACAACACGATAAGCAGCAGCAGCAAAAGAAAAAAAAATTTTACTCTGACACAAAACTACCATGACTGAAATTCTCACATTTAAAACACAACACACAAGTGGTAATCACTCACCTGTAACGGAAGACACTAACTAAGTTTGATATCTATAACGTACAACTATATACAGCAATTCTATATTTTATCCTTGTTATCAACAGAAATGGTATTAGAGAGTCGCAGTTCGGTTTTGTGGTGGTCAAAGCGGGTTTAATCGCTACCATTTCAAGTGGGGATAGTATTCCAACAACCCCTATTTGAGTTTGTACCCCACCGAATGAGCTAAGAAAGGCAAATACTTTGTAACGAATTTGGGGCATGTGCATACAATCTATCATTTGAATCTATATACTTTTTGTATCATAACTGAGGGAGACTGCAATCTTTTTTTTGCAACTGGTTCAATGCAATCCCTCATCATTGGGATCTATTTTAAATACTTTATCTGGATTAAGTATCCTATTAGGATCCAACGCCATCTTGATCTTTCTCATCATTCCAATGGTATCTTCACCCAACTCTAGCTCTAAAAACTTACGTTTTGAATTTCCGATTCCGTGCTCACCAGTTGCTGTCCCATCATTCACAATACCCAATTCAACCATCTTGTTGACCATTTTTTCAGCTTCATCACGTTGCTCGGGTCTGTAAAATATACTCGCATGAAAATTTCCGTCTCCTGCATGAGCAACAATTGTTGATTTAAAAGGCGAGTCTTTTATCCAAGTATTGATCATGGTCAAAACATGAGACAATTTAGATAACGGGACTGCAATATCGGTAGGCCACATCCGGATATCTTGGTCAATTTCACTACGACTCCAATCTGTCATGGCATAAAGAGCATTTTTCCTGGCTGAGAATAATTCTTCTTGTTCTTGTTTATTCTTAGCAAATTGAAAACTAGCGGCTTCATTCTGTTTTGTTATTGCTTGAAGAATTTTGAGACTTTCTTTTACCACCGTGCCATTTATTCCCCCTATTTTGAAAAATAGGGTGGGGACCTCCAACATCGGCTTATTGGTATATTTCCCGTAATTCAAACAGTGAACCATATTGGCATCAAGCAACTCGATTGCTGATGGTTGTATACCCAGCCGGAATACTTGAGCTACCGTCTTTGTAGCATGCGATATCAGGGGGAATTGTACCACAACAACCGTCTCACTCTTGGGTTTCGGGTAAACTTTGACAACTGCCTCAGTAACAATCCCCAATGTGCCTTCACTTCCAACAAACAAGCTTGTCAAGTTGTACCCTGCCGAGGTCTTTCTCGGCCTTTGTCGAGTCTTTACAATAGTACCATCTGCCAACACAGCAGTCACAGAAATCACATTAGCCGTCATTGCCCCATACCGAGACGCATTCACTCCCGACGCGTTTGTTGCAATCATCCCCGAAATCAACCCCAGTGGCCCACAATCGGTGCCAAACATTAACCCATATGGTTCTAAATCCTCATTCAACCTCTGCCAGTTAACACCGCACTGTACAACCACATCCAAATCATCGTCATTTATAGCTAGCACTTTGTTCATACGTGAAGTGTCCACAACAATTCCTCTCCGCGTTGAGTGGAAATTACCTTCGATACTGCTACCCCCAGAAAATGGAACCACAGGCACCAACTCCCTATTGCATATTTTCAACACTCGCGAGACTTGTTCAGTTGACGTTGGATAGACTATGTATTGCGGTACCTCGCCGTGTTTTGGTGGATGCGTAGTAAAGTCGTTACTTGTATGATGTTCAATCTCTGGCTTGCTGCTAACGACTTCAACACCAATACCCGCAATTTCCGGAATAACCGAAGATAAATCTCTGCAATATTTTGGAGGTTGAAGTGACTTCAATTTTGTCGTCGAGGAATTGGGAAACATGTTTAAGGGTGGATTGTGTAATGCATTATACTGTCCATATTTGTACGCACCCAAAGCCACTAAAATCGAGCCTGGTAGTCCATACGCGAGTGGTTTAATTGGTAGCTTTTTCCACGGCATGCCCTGAAGTACTTTCAGGAACAGAGAGGGTTCGAGGTTTGGTTGTGCGTTCTATACACCACAGTTGTTGATATTGGAAAATTCTATTTGGTGAATTTCCAAATCGAGAAACAATTGCGCGTATTCTACCCCATACGAGCAGTCACGTGTAAATTCCAATTTTTGCATATCATACATTAAAGATCTATAAAATCGGAAAACTGAGAAAGGAATTTCGGTATTGCTACCACCACGCACTATATTCTCAATATTCACCTTGGTCATTTGGATCAATCTTGAATATCTTGTCAGGATTCAAAATTCTATTTGGATCCAACGCCATTTTAATCTTTCTCATCATATCAATAGTGTCCTCGCCCAACTCTAACTGCAAAAATCTACGCTTAGCATTGCCAATTCCATGTTCACCCGTAGCAGTCCCATCATTATCAATTCCCAATTGAATCATCCGATTGACAATCACCTCAACTTCGGGTCTTTGCTCAGCTTTGTAGAAGATATCAGCATGGAAGTTTCCGTCCCCGGCATGGGCCAAAATTATGGACTCAAAAGGTGAGTTTTTAATCCAGTCGTTAATCTGGTCCAATACAAGGGATAAGCGCGATAACGGAACAGCAATATCAGTGACCCATATGCGTACATCTTCATCAATCTCATTTCGACCCCAGTTGATCATGGCATAGAATGCATTTTTCCTAGCTGAAAATAGTTCCTCTTGTTCTTCTTTGTTTTTGGCGAATTTGAAATTAGCCGCTTCATTGGCCTGGGTTATCGTTTTCAAGATTTTGACATTCTCTTTAACAACCACGTCATTGATTCCACCTAGTTTGAAGAAAATCGTCGGTGCCTCTAACATCTTTTCAGTTGTGAATTCGCCGTAGTTTAAACAATGCATCATATCTGCGTCAAGCAACTCGATTGCTGATGGTTGTATACCCAGCCGGAATACTTGAGCTACCGTCTTTGTAGCATGCGATATCAGGGGGAATTGTACCACAACAACCGTCTCACTCTTGGGTTTCGGGTAAACTTTGACAACTGCCTCAGTAACAATCCCCAATGTGCCTTCACTTCCAACAAACAAGCTTGTCAAGTTGTACCCTGCCGAGGTCTTTCTCGGCCTTTGTCGAGTCTTTACAATAGTACCATCTGCCAACACAGCAGTCACAGAAATCACATTAGCCGTCATTGCCCCATACCGAGACGCATTCACTCCCGACGCGTTTGTTGCAATCATCCCCGAAATCAACCCCAGTGGCCCACAATCGGTGCCAAACATTAACCCATATGGTTCTAAATCCTCATTCAACCTCTGCCAGTTAACACCGCACTGTACAACCACATCCAAATCATCGTCATTTATAGCTAGCACTTTGTTCATACGTGAAGTGTCCACAACAATTCCTCTCCGCGTTGAGTGGAAATGTCCTTCAAGACTTGTACCTCCAGAAAATGGAACCACAGGCACCAACTCCCTATTGCAAATTTTCAATACTTGAGAGACTTCCTCGGTCGTCTTCGGGTAAACAACATAAAGCGGCACTTCATTCTCCAATGGCTTATGTGTTGTAAATTCGTTCCCCGTGTGGTGCTCAATTTCTGGTTTACTATTAACCACTTCAATACCGAGTTTAGTGATCTCCGGAATCACACGCGGTATGTCTTGACAGTATTCAGGCGGTTCAAGTGAAGTTAGTTTTGTGGTTGATGATTTTGGAAATGAGTGAGGTGGTGGGTTTGTCAATACTTGGTATCTGCCATACTTGTAGGCTACGAAAGATACTATCGCAGTACTTGTAATTCCTGCTACTATCCGTCGCAACGGTAACTTGGTTCTCCACGACATTGTTCAAAGACGGCAAGGACTATTGACCTGGCAAGAAACATTGATCTTTGTTGAAAAATTCCAAAATGATAAAGCGCGTATGAAAAAGCCACACTTATTACTAGCCAATTAAAAGTTCAATTTCGTTGAACTTCCAGAATTTAATAAGAGTACTACTTTAAAAAAATAGCCTTGTGCCTAATTACATAGTAAAGCTTAAATATAGCTTGAGCTCTGAGTACTATCTATTTAGATAAGATCTCACCAGTTTCAAGAGTCTTTTCAAATCTCTCTCTTTCATCAAGTGATGGACGGTTCAACATGTCTTCCAAAGCACCTGAGTATGGTGCCTTGTGCTTGGCTGGTGGGTTCAAGGTCTTGACCAAGTCAAAGTAGTTTTCGTAGATGTCTCCATCGTATCTACCAATGGCAGCATTTACCATCATATCAGACATCTGGAATGAGTCGGTCAATCCAACAACGTTTGGCCTGACTTGCTTGCACAAGTTTGGAATGACAACCTTGGCCAAGTCAGTGATGGCCTTTGTAGATGCAACATTGAAGGCCAAGAAAACACCAGCAAACTTGTCCAACACAACAGTAGCAGCATAAACTCTACCCAAATCGTACAAGTATGGCTTCAAGCTTTCGTCATCATGAGCTTCGATTCTTCTCACGTACTCACTTAACAAGTAGTGGTGTGCGTTCAATTTAGACAAGGTGACCAATTCAGCTCCAACGAAATCAAAATTATGCTTTCTGACAGTCTTGGCAGTTTCGTGTGACAATCTAATGATGGCAACTTCCAAAGACTTGATAAACTTCTTGAGATCTGTGATATCGTTTCCGTTGTCCAAAATAACTTTGCTAGCCCCTGATCCAGTATATTCCTTCAACTGGTTCAAGAAATCTGAAGACCCCTTAACTGACTTACCCTTGTCCTCAATGGTAAGAACGTGTTTGATCAACGATTTACTGATGTTCATGGCCAAGACATTGTTGTCACCTTCCCAAGTACATTGGACGACCCAATCATTGTAAGCTTTTCCAAATCCATTGTAGGCGGAGTAACCGTGTCCACCACAAGCCTGTCTACATTGGTCGATACCCTCGGCCGCCAACCAGGTAGAAGTGGATTTCAATGAACCAGAGTCAATAAACAACGACTTCATACCGTCAATAGACTTGAAAATAGCAGCTTGATCGTTTGATTGAACAGCCTTATCCAAAACTGACAAGGTCTCTTCGATACTTTTCTCGACTTTCAAGGCACCAGCTGAGAACACATATGCCGCAGCCAAGTATGGGAATAATCTCTTTTGATGCAATGGATAGTCCAATAATTGAGTCTCCAAAGCCTCCTCATCATCTGGGTCAACATTGTCTCCCTTGAATTGTCTTCTACCAATAGCATATCTCAATGCAATGGTGGAGACTCTAGCCAACATTCTGTATGAATCCAAGACCATCATGACTCTACCTCCCAACAAAGCTGAGTATGACAATTGCTCCAATGGTGGCAAAACAACCTCACCTTCTCTTGAAACCTTACAGAACTTTTGCAACATAAAGAACCTTGGGATTCTGACTGACGAGAACTGGATCCATCCATTATCAATACCGTCTCTTCCCATCTTGGCTCCAATATCTCCAACAGTCACACCTGGCATCAAGTCGTGGTTCGAGTCTCTCAATGGAACAACAAAAGTCTTGACTCCATAGTCTTCTCCATCGACAATCAACCTGGCATAGCACACAGTATGTGTTGATGAATGAGCAGCACCACCAATCCACCACTTCGTAGCACCAATGTGTGGGGTATTGATGATAAATTCATCACTTGCCTTATCAAAAGTTGCAGTAGTCTCAATCCCAGCAACATTGGAACCATGAGCCAACTCAGTCATTCCAAAACACCCATACATTCCATTAAGTTGATGTGTCTTTTTATCAATGGCCCAATACTTGAATTGTTCATCAGTACCATTACCCTTGATGCTATTGAGGAACAACCCCAAGTTCACCATCATTCTCGTACACACCTGTGGGTCAAAAACACCAATCAAGGATAATCTCTGTGTAAACACATCAATTGAGTCGTTTTCCAAGTATCGTGAAACACGATTGATCTTGACCACAGTCAATGCACGTTGTTGCTCCTTGGTCAAGTCGTAGTAGGATCCATCAGTGAACAAAATAGGGTCTCTTTCCATTTGCTGAATCAAAGACTTGATCAATTCACCACGTTGTTTGGAGCCTTCCAAAAAGTACTGCATGGCTTGTGGGTTGAACTTTTGGGCATCTCTCTCCTTTTGGATCAAACTTCTTGGGTCGGGACCTTTGCTTAAGCTGACTGTCTTGGTGGTGATAGGATAGGACATATTTAGAAATTGTTATTTGTTTTTGTTTTTTTTCGCTTTGTTGTGTTAGTGTCTAGTGTAGTGTGTGTTGCGCGCGGTTAAGTGAATCTCTGAATTTCCTGTTTTAGCGTCTGCTTCTCGTTATTGTGTAACAATTGGAATATCGAATGATAAATGTGTAATTCGAAAAGGCTGTTATATGAGCTGTTGACTTGGATAGTGATCAGTTCAAAACTAATATAGAAACAAAGGAATTGAAGCAATTAATGGAGAGTAATAGGAGAAGTTCCCTGATTCAGAAATCTGGGGAAATTATTGAGGATATTTATACACGGATTTTTTTTGATGTATTATTTTGCAATTTGCAGCATCACTCCCTACGTCTTGCTGCAGGCAGCCAAATAAATCATTCGTTTTTTTTTTATGTATATATATATAAAAATATCTACTCTCCTAGTGATGGATAATATCATGCATGTACCTATAAAATGGTTTACGGATATTTTCAGCTCATTTAGCCGAATGAAGCAAGTGGGTTGAAAATGTACCTGGGAAGACTTGTGTGGTGGAATTGGCCGTGTACTTATTTGGATGCGTTCCCGTGCCCGGTGACAACTAACAGATGCCTCAAAATTTCGTACTTATCTGTGTCGAAGCATTTCATCTCTATAGAAATGAATTCCATACCTTCGAATGCGTACTCAGGCCAGGTGCGACATTGAAATTATCACTCCCGAAAAATGCGACACTTCCCTCAGCTTATTAAATTTTAATTTCAATTTGTGTCTGATGTCTGAAACCCATTTTTTTTTTTTCTGTCTGGCTCTCTTCTCCGCAAAAAAAATAAAAAAATGCAAAAATTAAAATTAACTTTAATTCCTCCTAACTCCGTCACATAACAATAGAACTATCCTCGGAGAAACACACGACCATACAAATTTGTGTCGGCTTTAAACTTACTGGACAGAAGCCGGAGTTTTACTTTTTTTCTGCTACAAACACCACGCCTGAAACTGGGTTGCAACAGGTCGGCTACAAGAATACTATACTTCACATCTCATAACAAGATTAGGCATCTGAAATTTTATCAAATGCAAAATGCTTGCCCCGCATTCTCCTCTCTCCTATTTAGGACAGTTAGTGAATTACGACATACATGAGGATCAGGTGCTTTTTTTTTTTTTTTTCTTTTTTTTTTTTGAAATATTTATGGTACATACTTTTGTGTTTTGTGTTTTTTTTGGTTGGTCTTTTACCGAGGTTTCAAATTTTTAAACCGAGGGTCAACATACCCACGTGACCGTTTTTCTTTCCCCAGTTTTATTTGCATATTTATAAAAACACTTTGTGTTGGTGTCAGAGTGTCAAGCACGCGTTATCTTTACTCTGTGCTCACCTGTGTCAAAAAGCTAGTGGAAAGTTGAGAAGGGGGGTGTGGGGGGAAGCGGGAGCAAGTAAAGTGCACCCTCTCGCGTAACTTAAAGCCAAGATGTATGCCTTGTTCTGACAGTGGTATGATCAGGTAAACTGGTTATTTTTGAATGCCAGCGAGTTGTGTCAGATCGGACATTGTAAATCTAACACAATATGAGCGTAAAATCTCTCAAATCCATATAATAAAAATCATATCATACAAAGGCTGTTATTGAACAAGTGACCCCAAAAGCCTTGTGGCTGGATCCGTGCATGATTGACTATCGGACATATTGAACGTTTGTGCAAATACACGTTGCCCTACAAAAAATGGAAGGAAATAATTGTGGAGTAAAAGACCGACTACCGATTAGAATTTGGTTAACACTGAAAAAGGTGGCACTGCAAGACATAGATTAGATTAGCCCAAGTATGTATTGTGTCTTTAGCTACCAGGACATCGCCATGGCTTTTTTTCACTGTTTCCCAGTGAACTTCTTTTGCTCACCTTGCAGTATTGTCAACAACCATTTCATACATTCTCTACAGCATGTTTAAAACCTGATCTTGATCATTTGGGGGAGGGGGAGCTCATAAGCAAGCTTTATTCGCCAACACGTTTCTTGGCCACATGGGACTACTTTCAGTTTCTACGAATACTGAGATCCACTGCAGAGAATTCAGTCTCTACATTTGTCCTCGAAACAATAAAACAATCTATATTAATCACACGCTATGTACAATATTGAAACTTATCCTCACCCCTTATAACTGTGGCACCAACATGTCCATCAATGGTGATTGAATGAATAAAACACCTAAACCAAACAAAGTAACTTGTGTACCAATAGTGAAAGCTGGAGTCTCCCTGAATTTCTGGAAAGCGGACTTCTCCTCCTTAGCTGATGGTGGTGCTCTTGTTTGAAAGTTCATCGTTTGATATGTTGATACGGATTAATGATGAATGTGTATTGCTCTGCACACCTTTCCGTTAACAAATTTTCTTTCTTTTTTTTTTCATCAACGTCATTGAACCATTTTCTTTTTTTTTTTTTTTTTTTTTTTTTTTTTTTTTTTTTTTTTTTTTTTTTNTTAACTTTTTTTTTTTTTTTTTTTTTTTTTTTTTTTTTTTTTTTGATCGTGGGTGCACATCAATTGAAACCCATCGGACTACAAAGCAAAGCAAAACAAAACAAAAGGAAGATCTAAAAAAGATGGCTTCAGTGGATGTTGACTTGGGTGTAACCCCTGATACTACCTACTCTATTGCTGGAAAGCAAATCAAATTCGATACAGGGGCTGACATTGAACCCTACATTAAAGAACTCAACGAAATCAAGAATGTTACCAAGATTGATTTCTCAGGAAACACCATAGGAATCGAAGCTTCCAAAGCCTTGAGTGAAGCTCTATTGAAACACAAGGATACAGTCGTGGAAGTCAACTTTTCAGATTTGTACACCGGACGTTTAAACACGGAAATCCCCCAGTCGTTGAATTACCTTTTACCTGCATTGTTGAAATTCCCCAACTTGAAATTGATCAATTTAAGTGATAATGCTTTTGGATTGCAAACTATTGATCCTATTGAAGACTACCTTGCAAAAACTGTATCTTTGGAACATTTAGTCTTGTCAAATAATGGTATGGGCCCATTTGCAGGATCCAGAATTGCAGGATCGTTGTTCAAGTTGGCGAAAGCTCAAATCGCCGCTAAAAAAACCTCGTCGTTGAAAACATTCATTTGTGGAAGAAACAGATTGGAAAATGGTTCAGTAAACTACTTGGCTGTCGGTTTAAGAAACCATAAGGACTTGGAGGTGGTTAGGTTGTATCAAAACGGTATCAGACCAGCAGGTATTTCCAAATTGGTAGAAAAAGGGTTGAGTCAGAACAAGAAGTTGAAGGTGTTAGATTTAGAAGATAACACCATTACTACTTCAGGTGCTATCAAGTTGGCTGAATCTATAACCAACTGGCCAGATTTGGTGGAGTTGAACTTGAATGACGCTTTATTGAAAAACAAAGGCTCATTGGAAGTTGTTAGAGCATTTGGCAAAAACAAAAAGGAGAATTTGACTGTACTTAAATTGCAATCCAATGAGTTGGAAACGGACAGTTTGGCAGTTTTGGCTGACTTGATTGGCGAGTATTTGCCTAATTTGAGGCTCCTAGAGTTGAATGGAAACAGGTTTGAGGAAGATTCAGAACATATCGAAAGTATCAAGGAAGTATTTGAAAAGAGAGGGTTTGGAGAAATTGATGAATTGGATGAGTTGGAGGAATTAGACAGTGATGAAGAGGACGACGAAAATGAGGATGAAGGAGAAGACTCCTTGGAGGTGGATCTCGATTTGGAAGAGTTGGAGAAAGAGCTCGCTGGTGTTAACCTCGAGGACAAAGACGCAACTGTAGATGATATTGCTGATGAGTTGTCCAAAGCTCATATTAAGTAGATTGTTGTGTATAGATTGTAATAAACTCTTACTCAGGTAGCGTTTCCATTCTATAGACTAAGACGCGATTTTTCAGGAATGAGTAAGGCACACACAGACACGTTATACAAAGGTCCACCCCCCCTTTCGCAATGTCAAGTATATACAAGTTATCCATAAAGGGGATTCGATCGTTTGAACCTGAATCTGACGAGACAATTCAGTTTGGTTTCCCATTGACTTTAATTTGTGGCCAGAATGGATGTGGAAAAACTACTATCATAGAGTGTCTACGATATGCAACTACCGGTAACTTGCCCCCAAATTCCAAAGGTGGAGCTTTTGTTCATGATCCGAGTCTCAGCTCTCGAACTTCGGTCACAGGACAAGTGAAAGTGGCATTTAAGAACGCCAATGGTAAGTCAATGATCACAACGAGGTCAGTACAAGCAAGTATCAAGAATACGAAAACTGTCGGTGCGAGCACCATCACTTTCAAATCGATGGAAGGGCAGCTAGCTTACATTGAAAACGGTAAGAAAACAAGTATATCCTCGAAAAATGCCGAACTAGACTCACAGATTCCTATTTTCTTAGGCGCATCAACGGCCATATTGGATAATGTGATATTTTGTCATCAAGATGAGAGTTTGTGGCCGCTAAGTGAAGCATCTGTTTTGAAAAAGAAGTTTGATGACATCTTTGAAGCATCGAAATTTACCAAAGTCATTGACAGTTTGAAAAGTATCAAAAAGGATATGGCCACTGATATCAAATTGATTGAACAAAGTGTGAACCATTTGAAAATTGACAAGGATCGAGCAAAAAAAGTTCGACACCGGTTGGAGGAGATGAACCATTCGGTCGAAACATTCACTGCGGAAATCAGTGAGTTGAATATTCAAATTGAGCAGAAGGACATTGAAGCGGAAAAGTTATTTGCAACAAATCAAGAATTTCAAAAAACGTTGAGTGATTATGAGAATTTGTTGATGAAGAAAGCTTCACTTGAAGAGACTATTGAAAGGATCAAGAACTCGATTGAAATCTTGCCAGATAGCGACGAGGAGCTACTTCACAAGCAAGAGAATTTTGCAGCAATTGTAGCTGCGAATAAGAAATCAATTGAAGATTTGCAAAAAGTTGAAACTGATCTAAACTCCAATTTGAAATCGAAAACGGAAGAGTATAATGAGATGATTAGGTTGGATGGTTCGCTCAAAGCCAAGAAGGCAGAATATGATGCGAATAAGGATAAGATGGCAAAGTTGACGAAGGATAATGCGTCGGATGTGGGGATTCAAGCTGGAGGCAATGAGACGAAACAGTTCAACGAATTCAAAGACGCTATCGCTGCCAAACTTCTTGAGGCGCAGAGCCATCAAAAAGAATTGACCCAAACCAATAAGTCAATTGAAGCTGAAAAGCAGAAACAAGTTAAAGGAGTCGAAGACGAAATTATCAAGCATGAACAATCGTTGGAATATATCGATAACGATTTGCAAAAAGCTCAGCATAGCTTGACTCAGTTCAAAAGGCGATTGGAGGCTTCGTCAAATGATGAGTCTCAATTGTCATTAAAAAAAGAGGAGTTGGTTGCGATAACAAAGGAGCTCGAGAATAAAAAGAGTAAAAACGAGGTGGAAGAACTCGATGTGAAGATTACCAAAAGTAATGCTGAAAATGCAAAACTTGAATTTGAATTGGATGAGATTTCGAAAAGGATACTGACAAGTAGTAAACAATCTGAATGCAGGACAAATATCAAGTATTTGGAAAACGAAATAAAGTTAAAAGAGGGGGAAATGGGCAAAATTGTTGAAAAAATCAAGAATGACTACAAGAAAGTGGTGGGGTGTGATATTGATCTTGACTTTGCGGAGCCCAAACTCGAGGAGCGGTATGAAGAATTGAAACTGGAGGTTGATCGACAACAAAAGAAGGTTTATGGACTACAAAGCGAAATTGGCTCGATGAAGGCTTCAAGACAGAGTATCTTGGATAACATATCCCAAAACTCAAATAAAATTGACGCATTGAAATCAAAAATTATGGAAGTCATTCAAGAATCGGAAATCGACGAGTATGAAAGCATTTTACGGGATTTGGAGGAGGATTACAGAAATGTAACTGAGGATGTAAATACGTCTGAGGTGACAAAAAGCTACGGTAAATCGGCATTGGAAATGGCTGAGAAAAACAAATGTTGTTTACTATGTAAGCGAATGTTTGATGATCCTGCTTTGCAAAAGTTCATCAAAGAGGTGAAACAAGGTTTTGATGAAGAAAAGATTAATGAAGTCAAGAAGAATGCTGAAGAGATTGGGAAGGAGCTTGATGCTACAAAGAGCATAAGCTTGAAAGTGCTCAATTATAGAGAATGTGTTGCTTTGAAACCTAAGTTTGAGGAAGAGTTGAGTGCTGTGGATAACAAAATTAATGTATTGAGTGATATGCACAAAACGGAAACGAAATTACTTGAGGCAAACGAACAGTCATTAGAGTCCTCTGGCAAGTTAAGAAAGCCTCTTGATGATGCATCTAGATTGAAGCACGAAGTGCAGAAACTTGATGCCGAAGTGGACGATTTGAAGGACGAGTTGGCGGGATTTGGGTCCCTTGTAGCCTCAGTGGAAGAGTTGCAAAAGCAACAAAATGAGATCAGGCTGACGATTCGAGAAGTTAGGCAAAATGTTACTAACATCAACGAGGAGAAGTATAAGGTGCAAAGGGATATACAAAAGTTGGAAAACAAGGTCAAAGACACCAAGTTGGTCATTAGTAACCTTGAACGCTCCTTGGCGGAGGTTCTGAATATCAAGCGTTCTATCGAGGACCTCGAGACGAGTGTTGCTGACTCAGAGTCTAAAGGCAAAGAAATGCGATCAAAGTTGCATCTACTAAAGAGAGATGGAGAAAAAGCGTCTCGGGAATTGAAGCAAGCTCAAATGGATCATTCTCTGGCCGAAGATAAGATGACAAAGAAGGTTCAAACGCTTAGCTCTTTGGTGGAAACGTTTCAAGCTCTCTTGAGCACAGTGACTGAATTCGAGGCGGTTGGGCTATCCCAAATGAAAGAGAATTTGGCCAAGATGGGAATCGTTGTCAAGGAATGTGACTCCATTAGAGCTAAAATCGTGACAAATACAAACGAAATCAAGAAATTTGAAAAGTTGGTGATGGATTCATCTCGAGTCGAGCATAATATCATTGCCAATGTTGATTTTCGTGCTCAAATCAGTCGTTTGGATGAGACTGAGTTTCAACTAAATTCAATGGATATAGAAAATGCACAATTGCAAAAGGAGGAATACCAACAAAACTCGAAACGCATTCGTGATGAAATTTCTGACCTTTCTTCGAGGCATGCTGGGAAAGTGGGTGAAGTTAAGCAAATCAAGGATCAAATTGAAACTTTGAAGAAGGAATTGTCAACGGAGTACAAGAATGTTGATGAAATGTATCATGAAGAATGGATCAAGTTACAAACCAATCTACTCGTATCTAATGACATACAAAATTACTCAAAAGCGTTGGATAACGCCATTATGAAATATCACAGCATTAAAATGGAGGACATAAATCGTATCTTGACTGAATTGTGGTCGCAAACATATCAGGGAACCGATATTTCCACTATTGCAATCAAGAGTGATGTCAGCCTTCAAGCCAAGGGCAACAGATCATACAACTATCGAGTTGTTATGGTGAAAGATTCGAGCGAATTAGATATGAGGGGTCGTTGCTCTGCAGGGCAAAAAGTTTTGGCCAGTATCTTGATTCGTTTGGCGTTAGCGGAATGTTTTGGATCAAACTGTGGTGTCATTGCTTTGGATGAGCCAACAACCAATTTGGATAGCGAAAATGCTGAAGCATTGGCTGCAGCGTTGAATAGAGTCATTGAATACAGAAAACGACAACTGAATTTCCAATTGATTGTGATTACCCATGATGAAAAGTTTTTGAGCCATTTGCGAGGTTTTACTGATCATTATTATCGAATCGATAGAGATGAAAAGAGCAAGTCGAGGATATACAGGTTGAGCTTCGCAACGAGATGATTAGCAATGGGGGGAGGGGAGAGGATGGAGGTGAGTTGTGTTATTTGATATATAGCTTATTCAAAAATTAGTATTTCTTCATTTTCAAATTACACCTGATATGGATGAACTAAAAGTAGTATGTCGATTGAAATTTCTCATTTGGTGTAAATTATTCTCCTCCTTGATCTGTGTCATGATCTTATCCTTGTGCTTCCACAAGTGTTCCAAATACCTTTCCAATTTTTTTCTCTTGCTGGGGATTCTAGCAATTGATCTCACTTTGACGTAAACTAGTACAGTGACTGGTTCTTTTGAAGAGAAGATTTCCAACAATGTAGGTGGTTGGTAATCAACTTCATCCCCTTGTCGACGACAGTACAATATAGTCAAGTCGTACAAATTAGAATACGGGTGCGGCTTGAATTTTGACATAGCAGTGATTATATTGTAAAAAGCTGGGTACCTTGGGTAGAGCAAATTCTCCAATTTTGGTAGAAAGTACTTTTCTCCAATTTGCTGCTGTACTTTGTACCCTTCTGGTGTCCACACATTCACCTCTGGAAACAATGCAACCCATTCTGAAAACTTGCTTTTGAGCAATTTCGCAAATACATATAGGATCGAGCTCTCTTCAAGTTCCCAATTTTCATCTGTTTTCAACAAATGGGTCAATATTTTGATTGTTGGTACTCTCCATATAAGAAACCATGAGAAGAAGTTTACAATCGGTAACTTAAGGTTCCTATTGTGTGGTAATCCATCTTTGGCATCCCTTTCAGATTTGGTAGATAATCTTGACAAATGTTGGATTACGAAAGCATCAGCCAAGGAAGCATGGTTGCTAATAACCACTGCCGGATTTGGACTGAGTTCGTCACCCATTACTTTGATCTTGACCTTGTTTAAATACTTCAAGTGGTTAGAAAATTGCATCAGATATAGAAATGTGGGTAAAGTAACAACTTACCATTAGGTAGAGACCAAAGTCCCAGAAGAAAGTGCCGCATTTGTTCTTGATTAAGTTGGCTGTGTCAGGGAAAGTCAATGCCAAAACTGTTGCAAAAACTGAAACCACATGATAGCACACTATATAATATAGCAACAGGAGTAAGCTACCCACTCCCTTGAGCCAAACACAAAAAGGTGTATCCTTATCTCTGTGATATCTGAGACCAATGAGATCAATCAAGTCCATAATCTGTGGACAAGCCAATAGAGCTAATGAGGAAAAGGTGTGTGGGTCGAAAGTTTTGTTGCACAAAAGCACAATTGTGGAAAGATTGATTTTTTATTTTTCCTTTTACAAAATCTCATCGCTTTGAATCATCTCATCTTAATACATCTCAACAACTACAACAAGTTTCAATGTCAAGGCTAATAGTCAAGGGGCTTCCAAAGTACTATACAGAAGAGAATTTGAAAACTCACTTCAGTCAACAGGGAGATGTGACTGATGTGAAATTGGTTAAATCTAAAAATGGAGAGTCAAGACGTTTTGCATTCATTGGTTACAAATCAGATGAAGCAGCACAGAAAGCGGTCAAATTTTTCAACAAGTCATTCATTGACACAGCAAGGATTGATGTGCAATTGGCAAAATCCTTTTCTGATCCAAATGTACCGTTATCGTTCAAGGAAAAGAGAAAGAGAGAGAATGAAAGACTAAAGAGAGAGGAGGAGCTATTAGTTGAGGAGAGCAACAGGCTTAAAGCAAAGAAGCAGAAAACTGAGCGGAAATCGTTAATTGAGGAAGAAATGGAAAACGATCCCAAATTCAAGGAATACATGGAAGTAATGGAGCCATCGCATCAAGTCAAGTCTTGGGCGAACGATACTATAGCTGACGGTTCAGGAGGTCCCTCGAATGCAGACTTGGAACGAGCCTTAAAGGGAGACAATAAAGATGATTTCAAACTGCTGAAGCCTAACGTTATTGAAGCACAGGAACACGAGAGCGATGATGAGTACAATGATTTCCAAGGTCAGCTAGTGGATGGTGATGATAACGACGACGACGACGACGACATTGAGGACGAAAAAGAGAAGATGATACCTTTGAAGGAAGTGGATGGAAACGAAGCTGGTGCATTAGCCAAAGATGAGAACGTTTCCGATTTAGACTGGTTGAAGTCGCGAAGCATACGTATTAAAGAAGATGGTGAAGTACCGGAGAATGTTTCGGAAAATGCTCCCGAGAATCAAGACACAACCACAGAAGCACATACAGACGCTCCCAGGATAGAATATAGAACGGACGAGGAGAAGGCGAGAGACAAAATTGAAGAGACAGGACGATTATTCATCAGAAACATTCTGTATGATGCGACTGAAGAGGATTTCAGACACTTGTTTGAGACATATGGTCCCCTTGAAGAAGTACATATTGCTATTGACACACGAACGGGTAAATCCAAAGGCTTTGTGTATATTCAATTCGCGGACACTGGAGATGCAGTTCAAGCTTTTCAAGCTCTTGACAAGCAGATCTTTCAGGGTAGGCTTTTACATATACTTGCTGCTGATAAGAAAAAGAGTCACCGACTTGATGAGTTTGATTTGAAAAATTTACCTTTGAAAAAGCAGCGGGAATTGAAAAAGAAAGCACAGGCTTCAAAGGCTCAGTTCAGTTGGAATTCACTTTATATGAACACTGATGCAGTTATGGAGTCTATGGCTGCAAAATTGGGTGTTACAAAGTCGCAGATGATCAATCCTGAAAATTCAAGCTCGGCAGTGAAGCAAGCTCTTGCTGAAGCTCATGTCATTGGTGATGTTAGGAAGTTTTTCGAAGAGCGGGGTGTTGACCTTGCAAGCTTCAACAAGAAGGAAAAAGACGACAAGGTAATATTGGTGAAAAACTTTTCATTCGGAACAACAGTGGAAGAATTGGGGGAGTTGTTTACGCAGTATGGACAGCTCAAGAGAATAATCATGCCTCCATCGGGAACTATTGCCATTGTTGAGTTTAATGATGCACCTAGTGCCAGAGCTGCGTTTACAAAATTGGCGTATAAGCGATTCGGCTCTAGTATTCTTTACTTGGAGAAAGGTCCAAGGGACCTTTTCACTCGTGAGCCTGTGGCAAATGAAAACATTGAAATTTCCGAGCCTGAGAAGGTGGTTGAAGCCAAAGTATCCGCCAGCGACGTTCTTGGGGAGCGAGAAATCGAGGAAGATGAATACCAAGGTCCAACGGTTTCGATTTTTGTCAAGAATCTCAACTTCAGTACAACAGTGCAACAGCTATCCGAACTATTTAAATCCTTACCTGGATTTGTATTGGCTACAGTCAAGACTAAGCCTGATCCAAAAAATTCTGGAAAGACATTGAGTATGGGATTTGGCTTTGTTGAATTCAAGTCGTTAGCCCAAGCCAATGTGGCTATTTCGACATTGGATGGTCATGTCTTGGATGGTCACAAACTACAGTTGAAGCTTTCTAACAAACAGGGAACTTCGACATCATCTGCTGCCCCCACTACCAAATCTGCTAAATCAAGCAAAATCATTATCAAAAACTTGCCATTCGAGGCTTCCCGTAAGGACCTTTTGGAATTGTTTGGTGCTTTTGGCCAACTTAAATCCGTTCGAGTGCCTAAGAAGTTTGATCAAAGTGCAAGGGGTTTTGCCTTTGTTGAATTCAACTTGTTGAAAGAAGCTGAAACTGCTATGAAACAATTGGAGGGTGTACATTTGCTAGGAAGGCGTTTGGTTATGCAATATGCCGAACAGGAATCCGAAGACGCAGAAGCGGAAATTGAAAAGATGACAAAGAAGGTTAAGAGGCAGGTTGGAACACGTAATTTAGCAGCTGCTAGATTGGCTGGTAAATCGAAAATTGAATTAGAAGAGAAGGATGACGAGTTTGAGTAGAGGTATCGATAAGACAATTGTATAGAAACCGAGAGAATACATAGAGGAAAGGAAAAAAATAAAAAAAATTAAAAAAAGGGTGTTTCGATAATGTATCTGTAGCTTCACTAGCAATGTTTCAAGCATTACGATCTGCAAAGCTCAGCTTTGGTCGTAATTATCTATTCAGCAATACCAGCCTTCTATCATTAAGGTGCAAGAATGTGCCACAAGTCAAGAGTGCTCTGTTTCACAGCAATGTGCAAATTTTGCAATCATCGATGAATCCATGGCAACGGAATTTTCTCAAACAGTTTATGAATCAACAAGTTAAACAATCGCCACTAAGTAGAAGTCCAACATGGAAAAGCTACAATCTGTACTACAATAGATCCAACTGGGACAAGTTGAAGAAACCGCTTTTGTTTACCGTGGCGTTTTGCGTGGGTACTACGGTTTTAACTCCTTATTTATACTCCCATACATCGTTGTCAGTATTGAAGCAATACCCGCAAGCTTTAGTCTGGGGAATAATTGCTGTAAATGGGGCTGTGTTTTTGATGTGGAGAGTGCCCCAATTTCAACGATTCACGATGCGGTATGCCATACTACTCAAGGACAACATTCAATCACCCTGGACATTGTTGTGGTCTGCATTTTCACATCAAAGTTTTGCCCACTTTTTCATCAATATGTTGTGTTTCCAATCATTTGCGGTGTCGTTGGTTGGGATACTAGGTGTGTCAAATTTCACCATTATGTATTTGAACGCTGCCGTGCTTTCTTCATTTGCGTCCCTCGCAATTCCAATGTTTTTGGGTAGCTCATTAGCTGTTGCATCACTTGGAGCATCGGGTGCTATCTTTGGAGTGTTTGGATGTTTTTCATATTTGTTCCCAGCCTCGCCTGTGGGAATATTCTTTATCCCCGTGCCTGGTGGAGCATGGGTGTTGTTTTTAGGTACTATGCTTTGGAACGCTGCAGGGTGTGTCTTGAGGTGGGGGACCTTTGACTATGCTGCTCATTTAGGAGGCAGTTTGGTGGGTATTGCTTATGGGTATTACTACAGCAGAAAGAGGAGAGAGCAGATACGAAGAAGACGATTGGTATTAGATTTTTAGATTAAATCACTTGTACATATTTACTCATGCGAAACTCACTTTTTTCTTCTTAGGCGCTGTTGTCTCTTGGACTTGCTCCTCGGCTTTTCTGGCTTTGGCATTCTTTCTTCTTGTTGATCTAGCGACAGAGGCCCTATTTCTCAACTCGTCCTTCTTTCCGTCCAATTTGTCCTTCTTTTGCTGCTCCTTCCTTTCGATTTCTTGTCTCTTTAACTCCCGTATTTCCTCCAATCTCTTGGATTTCTCCAACTTGCTTTCATTCACTTGGTCGTGTTTGTCGTTTATGCTCTTTACTAATCGAGTCAAGGTTAATTTGTCATGATCGCCCACGAATTTCTTTCCCTTTTTGCCCTTCTTCACTTTGACTCCTGGTACTATAGCCCTGTTCAAATTTGGTATATCCAACTGCTCTTCCTTGTACTCTTTCCCATTCTTTGCTCCGTATAGCCTTATTTTGGCTTGTTGTTTCTTGACTTGTAATTTCGATAGTTTTTTAACTTTTGATTTGGGAGTTAGTTTGGGTTGATCGGCAAGGAGATTTCTTGCTGCTGAGTCAGAAACAATATCTGATTCATTCTCCCTTGTCTTGTTCTGGGTTTTGTTTCTCTTGGCCGTCTTGGACTGTCTAGGGGCCATTGTGGGTGATCGTCCGATATTGGTTATGAAGAATATAGATTTGAGCGATGAGATACACTTTTGGTACAACAGAGAGAAAAAAAGAAAAAGTAAAACCCAAAGATGAACCTCCAGCAAAACTCTTTAATTCTCAGCGATGGCTTTTGAGTTCCCCTTTTTCCACCTATTCTCTCTAGCTATTTGCTCGAGTGGATTGTGGGACTGTTTTCAACAGCAACTCCCTAACTATTTGGTAAGGGGCGGCCAACTTCAATTTTTGACAAATGTGTCATTGGTGTTGACGATTGGATACATTATTCTATTACTGTTTCATATCAAATGTCCAGCTTTTTACAATGCCATAGCTAACTTGGAATTTACAGTCACGGTAACTCACTGGACGCTATATCTATTTTTCCCCCACTTCTTAAACACCAAAACCCTCCCGCCTACTTTCCAATTAGATTTCAAGATTCATTTATGGCCATACTTGTATTTGCTTGTTTTGAAAGAGAGGAGTTCTACACAAGGGATTACGGTATCAGGAGTGATTCTTTTCATTTACTCGCTATATCTTGAGCTAGTTGTTGCCACTGACTCCACTCACGAGAGTAGATTTGCGTATCCATTTCTCAACAATCACAACCTAGCCGGGCGTATGGGTTGGATGGTTGCAATGTGGGCAATAAGTAATACAAACTACTTCATATTAAGATATATAAAAGGACTATAGAGACAATAGACAAGCACTTATGAAAACCTAACTATGGACCATTATTTTTTACTTGGACAAGATAGCTGCAGTTGCTTCTGATTTTTCACCTCTTTCTCTGTCTTCCAATGAGGCTCTGTTCAACATGTCCTCAAGAGCAGCACTGTATGGAGCTTTTGGATCTCTTGGATCATTAACAGACTTGACTTCTGACAAGTAGTTGTGATAGATATCACCATTGTACTTACCAATCAACGAGTGGATAAAGTTATCTGGTTGTTGGAACGAATCAGTCAATCCAATAACATAAGGTCTAACCTTCCAACACAAACCTTGTGGGTAAACACTGGTGATGTAGCTAGCGACACTTGGTGAAATGACACCGTATCTCAAAAATTCGCCAAGGAATGGACCCAAGATATTGGTGACATAGTACAACTTGAGAAGGTTTTCCAAGTGTGGTCTTGCTGGTGAGTTGGCTGTAATCTTGGTCTCCAATCTATCAACAAATGTTTCCAAGAGGTAGTAGTGGCATCTCAACTTTGACAAAATGACTCTTTGTGAACCAATGGCATCCCAAGATTGGTATGATTGAGGAATCAAGTCCTGCGAGGACTTTGAGATCAAGCCAGCAATTGCCTTCAAAACACGCTTTGGATCATCAACGTGGTCCTTGACTCTAATGACTGCCTTCTTAGCCTTGGCCAATTCTGGTGCATCGTTAAGGAACTCCAAGGTTGAGTTCTTGACCTTCTTACCATTCAAAACTTGTTGGACAGTCTTAATGATACTCTTACCAGCAGACATGGCCAAGACATTGTTGTCACCTTCCCAAGTACATTGAACGGCCCAGTCATTGTATGTCTTACCAAAAGCGTTGTAACTTGAGTAACCATGTCCACCACAAGCTTGTCTACACTCGTCAATCAAGTTCGAGGCTTCCCATGTCAAAGTGGATTTCAATGAACCAGAGTCAACAAACATGGATTTAGTGGCAGCAATTGTGTTTTTCAACAACAACTTATCATTGGTTTTTAAACCCTTGTCCAAGTTCTCCAACAACTCATTGTGCTCAACCTCCAATCTGTCAGTACCAACAGCTGCTGCATAGGTCAACGCCAAGTATGGAAGTAATCTTCTTTGGTGCAAGGTGTAATCAATCAATTGAGTTTCTTGAGCCCCGCCACTCTTGTTGAATTGTCTTCTACCAACAGCATATCTCAAAGCAATGGTGGTGAATCTTGCTCCAATTCTGTAAGAATCAGCAGCCATACCAACTCTACCTTCCAAAAGGGAGATATAACTCAACTGTTCCAATGGTGGTAAAGTAACATTTCCTTTACGATCAACCTTACACCATCTTTGCAACATAAAGAATCTTGGGATTCTAACTTCAGTGAATTGAATCCAACCGTTATCAACACCTTGTCTACCCATCTTGGCACCAATATCACCAACAGCAATACCTGGCAACAAGTTGTGTTGTGAGTCTCTCAATGGAACAATAAAAGTCTTGACACCATAGTCGACATCTTTAATGATCAATCTAGCGTAACAAACAGTGTGGGTAGCAGAATGGGCAGCACCTCCAATCCACCATTTGGTAGCACCAATGTGTGGAGTATCAATGATGAATTCATCAGTTGCAGGGTCAAAAGTTGCAGTAGTTTCACAACCAGCAACGTTGGAACCATGACCCAATTCAGTCATTCCAAAACAACCGTACAATTGTTTAATGATTCCGCTTTCCTTCTTGTGGGCCCAGAAGTCGTATTGTTTTTGCGTACCATTTCCTCTAATACAGTTCAAAAACAAACCCAAGTTGACCAAAATTCTAATACCCATAGAAGGATCAATAACAGTCATCAATTGCAATCTTCTTCTAAACTTGGCATATGGCTCAATTTCGATAAATCTAGCCATTTTATCGATTCTCTTGGCAACCAATTCTCTCTCTTCCTTTTGAGTGATGTTGAAGTGTTCTGGTCTAGTTTGCAAGATTGGATCACGTTCAATCGACTGGTAAAGACGTAAGATTTCATTAGATTTGGCTTCATTACCTTCCAAAAACTCGTGAACCTCCTTCAAGTCCCAGTCAGTACGAGCTCTCTCCTTGGCAATATCTGCAGCTGGGTTAGGAGCCGGACGTGAAGAAATGACACTCTTGACTATTTTGGGAGTGGTGTCTGGGTCATTTTTGGTCTTGTTGGTGTGGAACTCCTTTGGTAAACTTGCTCCGGCCATGTTTGATATCTGAAAGGAACTTTTGTGGATAAACTGAAAACTCTGTATAGAAGTGATCAATAGAGAAACAAATCAGTTTGGAGATGGTAAAAAAAAAAAAAAAAAAAAGAATGTATTGGTCAAAGGGAGTATGGATTTTATTTATATGAATGGAAGGATCAATTAACTGAATGTTTGTTTTGTGTTTCAAAGTTTGTATTTTATTTTTGCCCGTGCATAGCTGCTGCAATTATATGGAGAAAGGAGAAAGGAGAAAGGAGAGGGAGAGAGCACCAGAACGGAGAAACAATAAAGGGTAATAACAATTAGGGGTAATTGCAGTACCTTGGAAACACGAAGAGCCCTCAACGCATCGTCTCAATGAAGCTCTGGTTCATTTGGCAAGGAAGCCCACAACGAGATACAAAGAGTCTAAATGGTGGTTGTTTTAATTTTCCATGGGTATTCATGTAGATATAACTATACTTATTTTGATTCGCGGGGGAAACATCATGTGTTTTGTTTGATATTATTTTACTAACGACGGCTCAAGATTAAAGAATGTAGAGGTTTGTGGTGAGCAAGTAGTAACCAATCTCTCTAGGACAAGCAATATGAACCAATCTCTATCCATGTCGCCTGTCTTGCCTTCAGAATCCGCGATTAAGCTTCCGTTTTTACATCCAGCGGCAAAATTGGAAAAGAAAAAAAAGAAAAAAAAAAATGGGAAAAGAGCCGACAGATTTTTGTTCTGTGTACAATAACCACAGAGAGGAAAAAATAAAAAAATTGTGGGGCAAAAGAATGTCTGTCTGAAATTAAACTAGTCAGACATAAAAAGGAGAGTTCGAACCAGTATTGTCCCTATCATATCCTTCGGTATGACCATCCAAAATCATACGATTTTTAGCAACTGCATAGTCGATCGAAGACTTTGATACTCTCTATTCCTGCAGAAGGGAATGGCGCCTGGGATGCTAAGGTCATGAACCGGTGATATCCGCACATTTGTAGTTTCCCGTCTTGATCAGTTTTCGCGCTTAAAAATATTTGCTTCCTCGGTAGAAAAAAAAAAAAAAAGAGAGGAACAAGCGTTTCAATTTTGAAAACATGAAACGGATTGAGATATGCTGATAGAAGTATCTTTCGCTTATGCGACAATATCGAAAGGCATTTGGCAAAAGGGCGAACTCTGTTATTTGCGTGTAAATTGGGTAGTCTCTGCATGATTGCAAGTCCTCCGCCTCTCTCTACTCCGACTCTTGACGTTTGCTCTCTAATCAGATATTTTTCGACATCCTTTCTTTGTAGTCAGAGACTCAAGATGAATCTTATTGTGAAGAAAATCGTGCAGTTTATTTCTAAAAGTACTTGTTGCTGATCCACAGTGACGAAAAGAAAGCAATTTCTTGCAGCTATTTTTTGTAAAGAAATGAGACCAAAAAATATCTTGTCACTAAATGATCACCAATTGTAAGAAATACAGTATTATCAGGTCGTCCAATGACGGTCTCTCGCCAAAACATAGGACCACTTCAATGCCTCTCATGACTTTTCTTCACCAATTAAACAAATCTTGTACACTGAACAGAGGAAATTTCCAACTAGATGTTTCCCCCCCCGTCCCCCCACATTTTAACACAAGTGTATATCTTGCGGCGAATTCATCTTTCTGTTTAACGATAGCCAGATTATAGCAACTACGATAAATATGAACTTGATACTTAAGTCCTTTAAGGGTTAATTTTAGGTGCAAAAAATAGCATGCCCAAAAGCCTTCTTGACAAAAGTTACCAAGATAAGTAATAAAAACATACGACCTGTTCAGCGTAGACCGGTTTCTCGCTGTATTTTCTCCTGGTAGCTTAGTTGGTTTAAAGCACAAGACTGTAAATATAACCAGATTTTGTAATCTTGGGATCGGGCGTTCGACTCGCCCCCGGGAGAATTCCTTCTTTTTTTGCTTTTTTATAGTGACGTTTTTTTTTGTTTTTTTTTTTTTTTTTTTTTTTTTTTTTTTTTTTTTTTGGAATGCATCAAACGCAAGTAGATCCAGAATGAGTTGAATTCTAAATATCGGGCTCTTGCATTGGTTCGTGACCGGCCAAGTTGAACACAGCACATTGTACAGCACAATTTTGGCGTTTGTTGCGAACCATTTAAGGAACACCAGAAGCAACATGCACAGTAGCTAATTTTTACTCATCTCTCATCTTCTTCTTACCACCTCAACAATTCCAATCAAGTATTCCCAAACGAAGCAACACCATGTTGCTCTTGCGTTTGTAATTCTGTCCCCTTCTTCAACAACTTTGTTACTTCCCAACAAAAAAAAGAAAAAGAAAGAAAAAAAAACAACAACAATAGGACTAACAGACGTTGCAGAAAAATAAAAAGATAAAAACAAATGTCACACTAAATTGGCGAAGGCTTTTGCCGAATACGCAATAAACTCTAACCTGCAACAGAATGTATACGTTTCGTGGTTTTACGTCTTCCTTTAAGCTTTCCCCTCGAGAAATAAGGTTCAAATTGTCGTGTCAACTGCAGACGACGCTGACTTATAATGATTGAGAGCACTTTAGCGCGCACATAAACAGCTGCTTTTGTGATGCTTTTTGCACTTTTGTGATATAAATCAGCGCATATTGTATGTTTTTTTGCATGCATAATGCACAAGATGATAAAAAGTTGGCGAATTGAATTAAAACTATAAAGTATACAAATGGTGGTAACCGGAAGAAATCACAACAGAGGTATGCATTATCAGCATCAAACTTTTCAAAATTTCAAAGGAGCTGTGATTGACTATGTTCGTCTAATTGGGACTCCCTCGAAACAACATATCCTCGTCACTTAGGTTGGCTTGTGGGTTCGGCTGGACACTGCTTTCTTGTTCTAGCTGCTGACGCTGTTGTTGTTGTTGTTGTTGTTGTTGGTGTTGTTGTTGTTGTTGGTGTTGTTGTTGTTGTTGGTGTTGTTGTTGTTGTTGGTGTTGTTGTTGTTGTTGGTGTTGTTGTTGTTGTTGGTGTTGTTGTTGTTGTTGGTGTTGTTGTTGTTGTTGTTGTTGTTGGTGTTGTTGTTGTTGTTGTTGGTGTTGTTGTTGTTGGTGTTGTTGCTGTTGTTGTTGTTGTTGTTGGTGTTGTTGTTGCAGCAGCTGCTCCAGTGACAGAGTTTCAGTACCAGACAGACCAGATGCAGAACCCAAATTCCCACGCAGTTCCATCTTTTGATCCAAATGTTTTAGTATTTTATCAATCTTTTCCGTAATGTCTTCTCGTAGTTTAGCAATTTCTCTTCTCACCGCTTCCACATCAGTCTTGTACTGCTCCTGCAGTGCTAATATCTGCTTGAGTATGGTCTGTGTCTCACTTTGTGTTTGAAGTTGTTGTCTCTGCACAAGTGCACGCAATTGCTGACCCAGTGGCTGGTTCGCAGCTTGTGTCTGAGATTGACTTTGAGAATATGTATCGTTCAGATTGTACAATTGCGATTGCAATGTGTTATCAAAGGAAAGATTTTGCTCAGCTGGGTATTTGCTTTGACCTAGTGCCGTGTGCTCCTGTAGTGGTGTAGTTATGGATAAATGTCTTGTTTTAGTGCGTGGTTGATTGGAGCTCTGCAGTGGAAAAGCAGCCGAAGTCAAATTGCTTCCAGAAGATGATTTTGCAAAGGGGGTCTTGAATTCAGTGCGGGGATCCTCCACTGATTGAGAGTGTAAAGCAGCAGAATCGGATTGTACAGGCTGCCGTGGTTGCTGCTGTGGTGCTTGTTGTTGATAATTCCGGTTAGCATTTTGCTGAAACATCCCAGGAAAGTGCCTTGAATGCAGGACGTCAACATCTTCCTGTAATTGATGTGTAGTTGACGTATTCAGCGGGTGCTCATGTTGTGTGAACAAAGTCAGCAGCGGATACAAGTTATGTTGCAATGGGTGTGCACCTGCAACTTCATGCAGCAAAATGTAAGGGTCTCGCGCTTGACTCGCTCTGTTATTGTATGATAATGCACTAGCTCCAATCACATTGGTGTTCTCAAGCGGTTGTGAATGACTTGTCAATAAGTCAGTGCTTGAGTAATGGCTAGGTTCTTGATTCTCTTGATGTATTGGTGTAACTAATGACGACGACATGGAGCTAATTGATGTGCCCGTCGTGTATCCGCTTCTGCCTCCTGAGGTATAACCCGAGACAGTAGCACCAGTAGCCGCAGCAGCTGCCGCTGTTTGGCCTTTTTCCAATGTTTCCAGTTCATGTGTGTCTAATATTGACTCTGTGGTGGGAGAATTGACATCATTATCCAAAGTCAACGAAAATGGATCAGTCGAGGTGTAGTTATTTTTGTACATATAGTCCATGACATCAATCAACAATTTCTCATTCTCGTTAAGATGTAATTGCTCAACCGGTCTATTTTCATGCATCAATCTGCTCTCCAAATTTCTTCTCAACATCTGAAAACGGTGGTTGATGGTACGACTTTGGACAATTTTCGCCCTGTATTTTTCGTTAAACTCAAATAAGATTGTTTCCCAGGTTTTGATCCGATTGCCTCTTGTGCAAATACCTTCCTTGTATTTGTTTATGAGGGATAACAAAAAGTTTTCTGAGTCATATGTGAATTGAAAGTTACTCCTCCTGTTTTGCTTCGAAAGTGATGACGCCTCAGATGTTTGTGACAAGTCAGGCGTGACCAGGTTCATAGTTTCGATACTTTTCTTGTTCACTCTTCCACTTGGTTGGCTTTCGTCTGTCTCGATTTCCTCAATTGAGTGAGTGAGTGTGTACGTGTGTGGGTGTGACGGGGGGAATGCTCTCAAATATTTGATGAATAGATTTGTTTGTTTTTATTTTCCACGATTGAATTGTCGAGGTTTAGGAAAAGGGTCGTTTGTGGTATAAATCAATGGGGGTAGACGTAAACAGCTTCGATTGACAGAATTGACTATCGTAGGACTATTTATACTCTGCTGATTTAAATCCGATATTTTGATGAGGTCAGTGCTCAAATCACAGAAATGGCCTGGTGAAAATTTATATTTCTTTGGTGATTTGGTTAGTTATATACAAAGTCTTTACGCATGTATCATGTATAACGCAAAAACTCTTAAAAATTTAAAATAAAGGTTTTACTAAATTCGGGTTTGTTTTTGTAAAAAGTATTGTAATTATTATTTTTGTATGCGTCAATACCTAATTATATGCAAAAAAGAACAAAAAAATACAAAAAAAAAAATGGAGTGGATGCAAATAGGGTAGATCATGGTTTATGCTCGCACTAAAACTTCACATGTAGATCGTTTTGGGCATGATGACAAATGAGACACTTGCACTGCACAAGAAGGGATTGTTGAAGATTTTTACACCACTTTGAGCTATACTAAATTAGAATACAAGTAGATGCAAAACTTGTACAAGCTCATATATAATCTCACGCACAAGTTTGATGGAGCTTTCAACTGAACGGAACAGAAGAAAAAAAAAAAATTAAATAAAAATTAAATTAAATAAATAAAAAAAAAACATTTCTTTTTTTATTATTATTTTTTTAGTTCACGCTATCAATTTTGTGTCACACGAATGTAAATATAACGGAGAAAACTGCAAATTAGGAAACATGGCATTTGCCTTCTATCCTTTTCCATTGAGTGGAACAACGTAGAAACGACCTTGGATGATTTAGGAGAACTTTGGAGCTCTATGTACCTCCCTTCACTATAAAGAAAGGACTGCGGGAATTTCAACACTTCATTCAGGTACATAGTGGAAAACGTCTTTCGGTGGCAAAAAGCTTTACCACTCTTCTCTCTCTCGATTGTGTCCTTTTGAACGTTTACGCAATGAGCGGCCCCTAAATGGAACGGCCACTAGCCAAGATGATACAAAACTTTAGTCATTAAGGATTAGTAAAATGCCGGAACTAATCGTCTGGTACCTAGTGTGTATGTCACTTTGTGTAAACTCAAAATGTGACGGCGGTAGACGGCGATAGGTGACCATATATATGACCGCCTTAGTTTTTCAAAGACCCCTTCAATTCAGACAGAGTCAGAAACCTTCTGTTTTGCCGCCAATAAGCTTTTCCTATATCCTCATAAAAAGATTCGGTCATGTAATAATTTAGTCATGAATAACGATGTGTCTAAAAAAACTTGAGACAAATGTGTAAGCATAGCACAAAACCAATTTATTTTATTTCTTTTAATATACAAAGTAAAGCCGAAGACAACGTAGAATCATCAGGAACCTTCTAGAAGGACTACATTTTCAGGTAAAATTTCAGACATAGCAGTATCTTATCTTATGTCTGGAGGAGATGACCCATTGCAATCGTCCATCGTGTCTGGATTCGGAAACTACACCCGCCAAATATCTTCTGGTTCCCCAAAGAGCATCATGATAAGTTTGGTACCGTGGAGGGACCTCTCGTTTCTTTTTTTCTTTTTTTCTTTTTTTTTATTTTTTTTATTTTTTTTTTATTCCCCTTAGCATGTATGCGAGAGTCTGTTATATTTTCTTCCCCTTGTCTTTGTATCAAAGAAAGGGTTTTTGGGTGGCGTAATTTCCATGCATGGGAGATAAGGCTTAAACGATAGTGTTTCTGTTTCATACATCAAGCGGCACCAGCAATGTAGCTAATTCAGTTCCCGCCTTCGGAAAAGAAGCATAGGCAACGTGATGATACTCCACCGCTCTACCGCTGCTCATGAAGCATTGCGTCATACAATGCTATACAATATTCTTCTTTTTTTTTTTTTTTTTTTTTTTAATGCTGTGCATATTCCCCGGAAATAAATTCATTTTTTAACTCCGGTTCTTGCAGCAAACTTTGTGTTCTCTACGTAGATTTACTTCCGAACACCGTTGGCAGAGAAAGAAATGTCTAAAACTGACCCCCCCAATGGCAGTTTCATGACGTATTTACTAAACCGTATAAAGCCGCTTATGGCGAATTAATCCGTGCAGTCCCAACGAGACGCATAGCGTCATGTCTTTAATCAAGTTTTTTTTTTTTACACCATGTGCATGGAAAAAGACTGCGAGATGGTCTGAGATTATTTAGGAAATGCGATAATGGAGTAGAGCCATTGCGTCATACCCTTTGCATGAATTTGACTACTACAACACCTACTCCTTTTCATCCTACAGAAAGTGGTCTCTCGAAAAAAAAAGCTGCATACTAAATTAGATGGCAATACCGGCCTTATGCGAGTTGGTCAAGAATCATCTACATTGTAAGTTTCCTAACTCTGGTGCACCAACTAATACTAATAAATTTTACAACCGTACACTTACTTGTAGCAAGGGCAGAGGCAAAACACTTCCAAGTAGAGCCAATTTAGGATTTCTTATATTGTTCTCTCGTAATTCTCGAACGAGAAAAGCGCGCAAAGTAAATCAAGAGAACTACAAAACAGCAAAAATAGCTCCACTTCTGCGATCGTTCCCGAATGTCACACAGCCATCCTGATCCAAGCTTGAAGGACTCTATGAACTCTCAATTGAGTCTTCTTAAAGAGCCTTTGGAGATAGATGAGTCGATTTCGGAGATATTGTCCAGTCAAGCTCGTGACAAAGACATCGCCGAGATAACCAACTCTCAGCTTCAAGATGTACTCAACCGAGTCAACAAGTCTTTGAGCATTCAATATGAAGAGAGATATACAGAACGGAAAGATATTGGGGCCGCAAAAAGTGCGACAACTTTTGAATCCGAAAAGTTCCACACCATCGACCAATGTATTTTCAAAGTGTATAATCAACTACAATCTTTTGATTTATCAAATTACCACGATTTACCGTCATATGAAAAGAGGGAAATGCTTCAAAAGTTGAGTGAATTGTTGGCGGATCTACCTGTGCCGAAGCATCTCCGTTTAGCGGATGCTCAATTGTTGGAAAAATACACCGATATCAGAACCAAACTTATGGCCCTGAATAGGTCATTACGGTATCATTTTGATAAATTGCAATACCTACAGAGATTGAACAGTACATTTGAAGAAACCTTTGGAACAGGGGGTCTGGAATCAAACACAACCACTGACAATCTAGACAACTTGCAGGACCAAATTCACAAGTTCAAGCTACTTGTTGAAAGAATTGCATACAAGTCAAGTATGAATGACCTACATAGTTTTTAACACACCTCTACAAAACGCACTCAGTTCTATTATTCATTAATAAAGACAGTTTCATGTATATACTGCACTACTTTCTCTTATCTCTTTAATCGAACAAACCGAAACCCATGTCATCATCAGACTCTTCCTTTTCTTCTTCCTTAGCTTCTTCCTTGGCTTCTTCAGCATCACCACCAGCAGCGGCAGCAGAAGCACCGGAACCGGAAGCGACAGCAGCACCGCCAGATGGGACTGAGGCCAACTTGGTGTTACCTTCAGCAATCAACTCGTTGATGTCTTTACCTTCCAAGTCTTTCAACAAGGTGGACAATCTTGATTCTTCAACTTCAACTCCAACGGATTCCAACAAGGATGAGATGTCTGAAGCGGATGGGGAGGCGTTACCACCTTGGACCAACAACAAGTAAGCGGCTAAGTATTTCATTTTGTATTAAATGTGTAGAATAATCACTTTTAAGCAAACGGGTTATGCAGACTATCCTTTGGTTTGTAAAGAGTTCTAAAGAGGTGGACTTGGTGATTATTTTTCATCTTTTTTCTCTGCGTGAAAGAAGATGTTTAGGGCTAGTAAGTAATTGTGTGAAGCAATCACGTGCATAAATCAAGGGCTTTAAGGACACTATTTTTTCGCTTGTATTGTGTGCAGTACCAGTAATACAATATGGTAACACAAACAATAAAAGTAAGCTATGGTACGCCATACACTCAGAGATACACCGTAACACTGGCAGAGAGAGAGAGAGAGAGAAAAAGATTTTTTTTTAATTTTCAAAATTTCAGAGAAACCCTCCTTTGATTGAGTTACAACTACAACTACAACAGCATAGAACATGGTTGACGCTAGTATGTTTCATGACTAATCGATTTAACGAATGAAAGGGGAGCATTTCAATAAGGGAAGACGATAGAGGAACTAGTGGGCAAGTTTTGTGAACCAACTACGATGGAGATAAAGACGAATGAATGCATTACTGGGAACAGAAGGATCAACATATCCCAAGCTTCTACAAAGCTTGTAAACCAAACTGCTCACCTTGCCTGCACCATCTCAGTACCATCTCAGCACAATCTATTCACCATATTTCGGCGTCATCAAATACCCACCATGCAAATCCCCCCTTAGACAACGCAAATACTAACTATCAACTCTCTAGCTGACAAAAAGAAGAGAACATTCAAGCAATTCTCCTTCAAGGGTGTTGATTTAAAAGATTTGGTTGAAATGCCAACCGAAGAATTCACCAAATTGTGTGGAGCTAGAGTAAGAAGAAGATTCTCTAGAGGTTTGGACTCCAAGCCAATGGGTCTCATCAAAAAATTGAGAGCTGCCAGAGCTGCCACTGAACCAAATGAAAGACCAGCTATTGTCAAGACTCACTTGAGAAACATGATTGTTGTTCCAGAAATGATTGGTTCCGTTGTTGGTGTTTACAATGGTAAGGTTTTCAACACTGTTGAAATCAAACCAGAAATGGTTGGTCACTACTTGGGTGAATTCTCAATTTCATATACTCCAGTTAGACACGGTAGAGCTGGTAACGCTTCATCAAGATTCATGCCATTGAGATAAACCGGGGGAGAGAGAATATCCAATATACATTAATATCTCCTTTTCAGTGTATCGAGCTTCACTTGATACACTGAAGCCATCACTTTCTTTTTAAAACTTTTGTAATTTATAGTCAAATAGGGGTTTTAATCAAACACAAAATAAGTAAATTTGGTATCCGTAGGGAATCGTATGGATTATGAATGCGATGAAAATGGAAAAAAAACAATTGGACATTCAAAACATCTCTCAATTTGAAATCTTCACCCACCCCCCAAACAAACAAACAAACAAACAATGCCCACCGATACAAAGAGAGTTGATGCTGATGCATCAGAGCTACTCTCTAGTCTTTCATTATCCAAGTCTGGAGATAAACCAAAGGAATCAAAAGACAAACCAAAAGAATCAGGAGATCAAGATGCCCCAGCCGAAAAGCTAGTGGAAAAAGTGACCGAATCACCCAACGCATCATCCAACGAATCAGCGCCAACATCCAGCTCTACAGAGTCTACTGAGACAAAGACTGAGTCAGAGACAAACTTAATATCCAACCTGTATGAGGTGCAAGTTAAATTAGCCGACTTGCAAGCTGATCCAAACTCACCACTATATTCGGTAAAATCTTTTGATGAGCTTGGACTTAAGCCAGAGTTGCTCAAAGGTTTATACGCCATGAAGTTTAACAAACCATCGAAAATTCAAGAAAAGGCGTTGCCGTTGTTGATTTCAAACCCACCGAAAAACATGATTGGACAATCACAATCAGGTACTGGTAAAACCGCTGCATTTTCATTAACCATGTTGTCTCGCGTTGACGAAAACATCAAAGAACCACAGGCCATATGTTTGGCTCCAACAAGAGAGTTGGCAAGACAGACAATGGAGGTGATAACCACAATGGGGAAATTCTCATCGATTACTACCCAATTGGTTGTTCCTGAGCTGGTACCTAGAGGACAAAACGTTCATGCGCAGATTATTGTTGGTACTCCTGGGTTGGTGAATGACTTGGTTAATAGACGACACATCAAGGTTGATCAGGTCAAGGTGTTTGTACTTGATGAAGCTGATAATATGTTGGATGCACAAAACTTGGGTGATCAATGTGTCAGACTCAAGAAGAGAATACCGCAAACGGCGCAATTGGTATTGTTTAGTGCAACGTTCCCAGTTCAAGTTAGAAAATATGCTGAAAGATTTGTTCCCAATGCAAATTCGTTAGAGTTGAAGCAGGAGGAGTTGAATGTTTCCGGTATCAAGCAATTATACATGGACTGTAATTCAGAGGAACACAAGTTTGAAGTCTTGTGCGAATTGTATGGATTGTTGACCATTGGATCTTCGATTATCTTTGTTGAGAAAAAGGAAACCTCGGAGAAGTTATGGCACAGGATGAGACAAGAGGGGCACAAGGTTTCATTATTGCATGGTAGTTTGCAAGCCGGTGATCGTGATCGTTTAATTGATGATTTTAGAGAAGGTAGGTCCAAGGTTTTAATCACGACCAACGTTCTTGCTAGAGGTATTGATATTGCCTCGGTGTCAATGGTGGTTAATTACGACTTGCCAGTTACCGGACCACAGCGAGAAGCCGATCCTTCCACTTATTTGCATAGGATTGGAAGAACTGGAAGATTTGGAAGAGTTGGCGTTTCTGTTTCATTTGTCGCAAGCGCACATGATTTGAAGGTGTTGCAAGACATTCAAGCATATTTTGGTGGTATCGAAATGACTAGAGTACCAACAGACGATTGGGATGAGGTTGAGGAGATTGTGACAAAGGTTATAAAGAGTAAGTAGTAATCAATAGAGTTTATTGCACTATTTCTATTTACACAGAGATTGCTTGTTTTGATCTTGGAGGTAATCTTCTCAACACGACATCCCAGTCAATACATTCCCAGCAATTCTCTAAATATTTTTGCTTACCAAATACTCCATAATCCACCAAATAGTTTCTTGGTGATGCATCTATAGTCAATGCTGGAATTAGCTTCTTGTTTAAATATGAACTTTCCAAATCTGCTTGCTCTGCAGTACCCAACTTCAAAGCGTCGTTAGAACCATCGTCTTTGGATGTGACATCCCTCTCCTCCTCGTTCTCAGTAGCTTCACCCTCCAACACACTCTTCATGCGTCTAATTTGACCTGACCTTTCTGAATCATCCACAGTTCCACCATTGTACGTCACGACAATAGCCAAGTTATGGAAAGCTGGCGTTGACGTAAAACCTGAAAAAGCCGAACCCCTATTCAAGTAATTTTGTCCAACAGTCAGCTCAGCCACTAACCACACTGACCCATCTCCTTTTATCGCTTTTGCTGTATTTATCAACAACGTGCGAAACTCAACCACCGAACCAAACGAATGATTGATCCAATCAAGTAACACCTCATCTGTAGGCGTGTTTCCAAAGTTACCGCCATTGGGAGTCTCCAATAAACTCAGAGCACTAGGTCTTGTAATCTCAAAAGGAGCCAGCAGCTGCAAAGGTCGTAAATTTTCAAAAAACTGATGAAGGTTATGCAACTTTGATGCATTCTTGTGTATGTGGTACAATTCCGGCTTGTTTATAGTGGCAGCAACCAATTCAGGTAATGTATACGCCTTGTCCTCCAAATTGCTCGCTTGGATCAAGTGCTGGTTCAAGTTTTGAATCAACTGATTCCCCTGTTTGAACCATAATTGGTCCAATGCCGAATGTGAAAAGAGACCTTCGAAATTGGCATCGGTAGCTTTCAACACTTCAAGAGTCTTGTTAATTGGAAGTGAGAACGAAGTGGATATTGGTCTGATATGTCGAGCCAAAGCTGTCCTCTTTGCTTTTAGACTTTGAAACATGTTTTGGAGATGCTGATTATAAAGGATCTTTTGCAATTTTTCTTTTTTTTTTTTGTTTTTTCAATGGAAGAAATATTTCAGTTTCTAAAACCTCCTTCTCTCTCTCTCTCTCTTAAACTGAATAAAACTTACACAAATATAAAACTCATATAAATACTATAAATGTCTATAACCGAAAATAAGCAAAACATACAAAGCAGAACTTGATTCTTTTCAAATCATCTCCTCACTTTCAAACTCTTGACTCTTCTAATGAGCGAATTGCCACCCGGTGGCTTCAAGTCGTCATCGTCCTCGTCAAGGCTGTGGCGAGTGTTGGTATCTAAAGCATTCAAAGAGCCTCTTCTGACGTTATCCCCACTATGCCTATCATCACTAGAGTTTCTTCTTGAAGAATTTGAGGATCCATTGCTTTTGAATCGTTGTACCAAAGACTTTTTCCTACCTAAACCGCCACCATTTGAAGGGGACAAGAAATCATTAGTGGCTTTCGGTGCTGGTGCACCATCGAGGAACGTAGTGGAGCCAAGACCTGCTGTTGTGGATCCGTGAATAGGCTCTGCCTTTTGGGTGGAGTCAAAGGCGATAACAGATGGGTTTTGTTTTGGCGTGTACATGGTTGTTTGCGGATCATCAGATACTCTATTGGTTTTAATCACCGGCGCAGCATCCTTAACTTTGAGAGAACGCCCTTCCCCATCAAAGTTGTTGCCATTTGCATTGTCAATACCAAAGGCAAGGTTCATTTGTTGATTCTTGTCCACATTGGCAGCACCTGCAATTGAGTTGTTCGGGCCATCAGCGGGGAAGGCCATTACGGGAGCCTTCTTGACGTTTTTGTTTCTGTGTGGTGTACAAGCATCAAATGGTCCGTCATGGTGGAATCCTCTACCGAAAAGTCCACTTACATCGAGTTTATCAATACTGTCCAAGTTTTTCGCAGGTGCTGCCTCTGCCTTTGATTTCTTCCTTCTGGAACTGCTGCTGGATGACTTGTGTGGACGCGAGGATGATGATGAAGTTGTTGGTGTTTTGCGATCGCCGCTTCTGTGGTGGTGGTGCGAATCCGAATGCGAACGATGTCTTGTGGAAGAGGAGCCAGGCTCTTTTTCTCTTCTATAACCCTTCTTAGCAGCTTCGCGACCGGCGGCTTCTTCATACGATGGTGGAGCAAATTCTTCCTGAGGTTTTGGTGGGCGTGCTGGCGGAGTATTTGAATGCCTTGGTGGGGAAAATTGTTGACTAAGTAATTGCTGCTCCGCCTCTTCCTCCGGTTCCGATACAAATGGATTGTTGGATTTCATTCTGTTTCGGTAATCCTACGTTAGTTTTGGTTTTTTGGAAATGAGATTGAATCTGCGTTCTGATTATCTTTGGTAAAGGAAAGAGGCTGGTGAAAAGGCAGCAATTTGGACATTGCTGTTTTTTCTTTTGTTTCCTCCCAAGACTGGAGGAGGTTTTGTTTTGAGACAAGTCGTGTGCCTGTTTCCTAAAAAAGCCAAAACAGTACAATACTCTCACTCACTCATAACGCTAGATCATTGTTAATATACATACCTGTACCTGGATCCCGATGTTTGTGGCTTTACTGAAAGCGCATAACCATTACCATGGGTGGGTTCATTAAAATTACCAATGTAGTGAGAATCTTGACCACTGGCGCTATCCCCACTGTTGATTCTACTATATCTCCTAGCAGATTTGCCATATCCACCAATATTACTATCGAGTGAAGCATTATTGTTCTGGTAGTAGCTGATGATCTTGTTGGGACTAACTTGTGATTCGTAAACTTCTTCCTCACCACTATCATCCAAAAGCTGTCTATTTTTGGAGACCCATTCGTCAAAATGAGCAGAAGAAGTTGAGTGGTTGCTCCCCGAGCTATGTTGTGGTAGTTGAAACAGCAGCCGGGATGACTCTGGCTGAACTCGTCTAAATGGGTTGTTGTCGCTCAATGGTTGATACATTGTAGTGGGGGTATTGATTAAGGAGTGGATGGGCGGGGAGGGGGGGTGTAAAAAAAAGTACAAGAAGATTGGAATGCGTTTATCTAGCTTACTGTAAGTTCTCTTGTAGATATCTGAACTACTCTGCTTTCTGATAACGTTGTGTGATGTAGTAGAAGACAAGTCAAGTTCAAAAACAAGTAGGAATGGAAGGGAACCAAAGCTTTCATTATTTTGTTTGCAGATTTTCAAAATTTTTATTCCTCTGAAATAGGAAGTACAAAAAAGGGAAAATTAGAATTAAATCTACTTTTATGTACAGTACTACACGAACTCAGACCAAGTGGAATTAGCCTTCCGCTCAGTTACAGCACACAATAGAGTTGCACCGTTAGAATACGCACACAAGTGAATTTAAGAAGGTTCTTAATTTGAGCCGTAAAGTTAGTTCTAGGTATTTACAAGAGGACAAGCAGGTGCATTTTCCCCACAACGCGTTCCTCAGCAAAGTCAGTTGAACTAGTACACGCAACTAGGCGTATAAAGAGACCGAAGAGAGTTAATCTCATTGACATGGTAAAACCAATGGTATGTTTTGTTACATTGAGTTCCAGTATTTTGCGAAATACAATTCGGCGAGCTGATTTTATTGTGGCATTATTTGAAGACTTCTCTGACGAATGCTGCTTGATTTAGTTTGAATTGACGCATCTCATATTTATCGACCAGCCAAATTGCATTGGATTGTTCTAGACTTCATAATTGAAATAGCTGTTTTCTATTCAATTTAGATTCACCACTCTTTGCTACAAAATCTAGGCTAATCCCACCCCTTATGCAGACTGCTATGCAAGCCAAGTTTGACAGCGAAGTCGGCTAACTTTAGCCATAGCGGTATAACAGAGGGAGAGAAAGTGGAGTCCCTGCCTTGTGTAAATCCTTGCTGTCTTTGTGACATATGACGCGTCAATCCTTTTCGTTATTTTCTTTTTTTTTTATCCCGCCAATTTTTGATACGTATTACGTAATATATTACATAATGATAAATATTGATCTCTGACAGAATCAACGAGGTTGAGTAACATAGCAATGACACATCTTGAACACTTTATTAAACTAGTTGGGAAAAATGGACCGATACACTCAACGTTTGGAAGATATAGCGAAAGGTAAGCAGTTTTCCTCCGGATGGCCAATTCGAGATGTCTGAGATGTGACTTTAAAGTTCATCACATAGGATGATGCATGACTGTATACATGTAGTCCCCAAACATGTATCGTGGTTTTGACTACTTTATCGTCCATTCAGAAGTGTCGTGTTAACTAGAACTTTTGAGCTATCCACATTGCAAACGCTACAGCTTGATTCACATTTTGTATAGGAGTGCAAATTCGCACGTCAACAAAGATATAAGATTTGTTGAGCGCGATAAATCTGATTGACTGCAAAAGTGTTACGCGATGGGGACGTCCTAAAAGACTGAATGCAAATACGATACTTCGTATATGCCAAGTCAAATGCAAAGCTTATTGACTCTACTCTTGGCACCTGCAAGAAGACAGAGCTCCTTTCCTGTCATATAGAGACAGTTGCGTTCATGCCATGAATAAATTATACTGTATAAAAGAATTTAACTACACTAATCAATCTCAAATTACCCCCTGCCCCCCCCAATTCTTTAAAATGAACTCCATGTCCAGTCGTTCGGTACCTCCCCAACAACACTCATTCTCCGTTCTTCTTGAGCACCAACGTCTGATCCGATTTCAGCACCATTTCCACCCTTAATCCCACTTTTCTTGATGCATATAGTCAATTGCTTGAGCTTGAGTGGAGTTGTAGTTTCGTAATCACTTATGTTGCTTTGGATATTGTATGGGTTTTCAACCACCACAACTGCTTCCGCCCGCCCAAGCACTGAAGAATCGTTCTGGCTCAACACACTGTCACACTTAACTAGCTTCAATAAATTTTCACGTTTATTTATTTCAGTTGACAATGTCTTGTAAAGACGAGAACATTTGTTACAAATCTTTGTTTGACACGCCAAGGAAGTAATAGCATTGGCATCTTTTGAGTTCACTGGGATTATAAAGTTGGATTTATTGTCAATGATTATTGTGTATTCACTGTGTTGCAAGTCACCCTCGGTACACACTCCAACAGATTCGGTTGTGCTTGATGTGAGAGTAGACGATGCAGACGAAATTGAACTTTTGCTAGTGCCACTTGTTGAATCCAAACACAGCTTGCAAAAAATCAATCCACAAAAACGGCAATGATGCCGTTTGGGTACATCATAAAGCATAGTAACTAGGGGGCTGTGGAAAGACCGAAGGCAAGCCATACAAGCGTTGGTTGCACTGTTTGGTTGCCAATGTTGATGACTTGGTTCGGTTGAAATGTTGATGCATTGAAAATCTGACATAAATACAGTGAACGATGTAGACATGTTTTGTGCTAGTGGAGTAGACTTATCATCTTTCCAGGTGGATGTAAGCTCATTTGTATTCGGTGAGTACTTTTTTGTTTGATGTGACTGTTGCACTAGAGGTTCTGCTCGCAACACAGCAGGGGTCATCAATGGCTTTTTAATAGGATATACTTGATTCAAAGTTTGATTGGAAACTTTGTCACACAATTTCGGTAAACTATTATATGGGTCGGTCTTGTTTGGCGTTGAATAGCGTCTTGTTGAATTCATATCAACAGCAGCGGGTTTGTACTCCTTCTTTTCAACAAAATCAGAATCAAGATTGCTATGAGAATCAGTTTCGAATGAAGTGGTGCGATTTGTTTTCGGTTGGGTGTCATAGATATACTGACAACTGGTCATTTGAGGAAATCGTATTTTCTCATCATAGTCAATGATATCTTTACTAATGGGCAACTGTGGCAGTCTTGGGGTTGTTGATCTGCTTTCCCTCCTGATTGCTTTTGATATGTTCAGCTTTAACTCCTCACAAGTATTCACCTTAGTATCGATTGGTTTTTTCAGGAACGAAAACGGAGGAAGCACAGTAGGTGTTGTAGTTCCAGTGTCATTTGACATTGCCAGATAGGTGTTACTGTCAAAGGAGCCGCAGAGTATTTGAGAAGGAGTGATAACAATCAGCGACTTTCTCCGGGCATTTGCTCGGTCAGTGTCTGGATGATAAGATGACGAAGTTGTCGTGGTTTCAGTAGTCGCTCTTAACATATTGTTTAAAAGTTGTAAAAAACCTGTTTCAGCATATGTGGTTCAAAAGCTGCTTATATCTATTATTATAGTCAGCAAATGAAGTTGAATGTTTTGGAACAGATTTATTGAAGACTTATCGTATGGCCACCAGCGATTCATCTTTGTGTCAAAATTACTAATACTATGTGAGATAACAAAAATTCGAATAAAAACGAATTGTTGTTGCCACAGTGTTGGACAAGAAGAAAACAACAGACTACCTTAGGAAGAATAAGTACATTGGGTAGATGTTACCGCTCAGAAGAGAGATTATAAATGAAGTGGTGTGGCCAACAATGAGACACAGCTTCTTGCTCCGTGTATTGATTAAATCTTGTTAGATTGTTTTCGAAGTTAACTTCTGTACCACAATTAACCCTTATCAAGGTTCTTCCACTAAAGGAACAAAAGGCCTGTGACAAGAACTTCTTTGCTGATTAGTGTAACACACAAAGTCTGCAGCTTACTTGAAGGTTTCGTTGTGAAAAAAGATAGGATATGGAAAAACTGTGTTGCAAAGAATGTTCGATGATTATCACAAAATCTTGAGCAAAGCGATAAACAAGTAGCACAAAGAAAATGATTATACAATTTATTACGTAACAGTTTTGTATTGTTGCAAACAAAATAGTCTATTACAGGCGAAAAAAATAACTGTATTTGATTGGGCAGGGATAAGGTTGTCTTTGATCACAACCATTGTACAAACAATCAACAACAAAGACCATACTCTCTTAGCCCTTAGAGTGTATATCAGGTCTTCAGGTCGTTTTGGGAGCATGAATCCATCCAATTGACGAAAAATGTGCACAATCGTCACCAGAAACGTTATGATAGTTCCACTATTGCATCACTTCGAGCTACTGCCTATTCTATTCTCGTGTTAACTATATACGTATGCAAATGATAAGTTTATTGAAATCCCGTTAAAATTGCATTCTTTCTTTCTTTCTTTCTTTCTTTCTTTCTTTCTTTCTTTCTTTCTTTCGCTAAACTGTTCTTTTGTTTTTTGCGCACTCAAAGAATGACTCTATTAAGGTAGACCTAGAGTGGCGACTTATTAAAAAAGTCATGAAAAAATGAACTCCAGAAACTTCTTTTCCGTGTTGCAACTTAAGTACGCGCTGTTTCGGGGTTAACGATCATTTGTTTCTCGGTGTTTAGATTGTGTTAATTTTTTTTTTATTTTTATTTTTTTTTTCGCGCCGATGGGACCTATTCCCATTTTTTCCGAGTTTTAAGTGACGTTTGGCATCACCAAGATGGTGGTTCCTCAGTTTATCACTGTATTCCGAGACTCAGCTCGCAAGCAATGGTGTGCGTACTTGCCACATGAAGGTAGTTTTAAAGCACCACCCCCTTCCCCCCTTGGTCTACACGTTGTAGCGTAAAGAATTCACCATATCCTTGTGAGTGTGTACAAGATCAATCTCTCTTGGTGGATAAGGTTCAAAAGCAAGGATCTTCCCAATTCTTCCTTGTTATTGATGACTTTGAAAGTAAGGTCTTAGTAGAGTCTTTTTCCAGGTAGGTCATCGTAATCAACAAACAACACAAAAGACTAATTTGGTGTACTGTATATAAGCAGAAACTATAATTTCCTGTTTATATATAAAAACCCCCCATCAACAGAAATTAGAAAAAATCTCAACAACAAATTTACGGAGAAGTACCACACGCCAACACATACTCGCACCATTCCACCACTTACTCCCAGCTGACCCAATTGTTCATTGAGTTAAATTCGCTTCACAAGTATATTACCGCTAAGAAGTTGACACACAAATTACATCCTGAAACTACGCTCACATTCTCCACGAAATTAGCTCAGCAATGGACTCTGAAAAGATTGTGGCTGTGATTCTTGCCATTTTTTTGCCACCGTTGGCCGTCTTTATGAAGGATGGGTTGGGACCTAGCTTTTGGTTAAATTGTTTACTTTGTATTTTTGTGTGGTTCCCAGGTATCTTGCATGCTTTGTACGTTGTTCTTAAAGATTAGTTTTAATAAATGCACAGATAATGTTGACAGTCTACATCCTTCTCTTTACATATAACCTACTACAACCCGTTTACTCCAGGCGACAGCAAGATACAGTAGCAACGACGAAACCAGCACCGTTGTTACAATTGACGTGTAGGCTAGCCCTGTCACAATATGTAATGCCTCAATTACGTAAACAAACCCAATCGCATCAAATGCTCGAAACGGTATCGATATATCATACGGCCAAATCAATGTCAATATGCGGAACAATTTCACTGAGCCCGAGCACATGATTGTAGTTAAGAGCACCGCTGTGACGTAGCCCCATTGATCGCGTTCCAGAATAACCGTGTTTACCCAATTGCCAAAGCCATACGACCCACGAAGAATGCATTGCATAACCACATTAAACAAAAGGTGACGTAAGCTTATGACAATTATGAAAAACATGTACTGGCTGATTAAGCTCAGTTGCAACACCAATTGCGTGACTCCATCGTAAGCTTCTTCTTGAAGCCAAAATTGGTTCCTTTCACACGTGGCCCATGTCAAGTACACATCAAACAAAATGATCAATACAATCAACCGAACCAAGTTTTGATATTTCGAACTGAAATTGCCATGGTTGTGGATTTGCCATTCTGTCAAATTGTATGCCAAATGCCGGTATGCCGGTTTCTTTAATAACAAGATATCAAGAAACAATATAACAGCATCATACTCGATGTATTTATCACAAATCTTGTTGCATGCATCGCAGACTGTAAGTTTCACATATTCGCTCTTGTACTTGGAGTATAAGTTTGGTATATTGCGATGTCCACATTCGACACAAATCATGCCTATCTTGCGGTTTGGTGTGGATGTATTTTTTTTTTTTTTTTTTTCTGTCTTTCTTTTCATTCACTTTTGTTTGTACAGAATATCATTACTTCGTTATTATTAGGTATATAAGATTACACACATAGCTCTGGTGGTGGAGGTATATCTGGGACATGGCCCAACTCGAAAGTAGGTGCTTTGAAAGCTTCTTGAACAGCTACACTCAAATTGGCAAGCAGTGTGGAGATATCGCCCTGCTTGGATGAACCAAAAGCCAAGCTTGTGTTGGTAGTGCTGGAAGATCCAAATACCAGCAGGGGCTGTGTCTGCTGACCTGACGCTCGATTTGACCCAAATGTGTTCTGCGTAGTTGTAGATGCAAACGGTGAGGGCGTTGATGTCGGTGGAGGTTTGATCTGCCCAAAAGGTGACTGGGCCGCCCCATTGAATTGTGAAAATGCACTTGTTGTCGGATTGCTTGTAGTTGGCGCACCAAAGGGAGAAGTTGTTGATTGTTGCTGTCCAGGTTGGCTAGCGAATGGTGACGTGGTTGATGGTTGTTTATTTCCAAATGCCGATGTAGCTCCACCAGATGATCCAAAGGCAGAAGCTGTGTTCGAGGACCCAGAGCCAAATGACAGCGCTTGATTAGCTGCTGCATTTCCAAATCCACTGCCACCAAAACCGCTACTTCCAAAACCACTACTTCCAAAACCGCTACTTCCAAAACCACTTCCCCCAACTGTGGACAGTGTGGTTGCCTTATTACCAAATGCAGACGACGCAGATGGGTTACCAAATCCTGCACTTGTCGCACCGCCTGAATTACCAAAGGGCGACGAATTGTTTGTTGACCCGAAAGGTGATGCAGTTGATTGATTTCCAAATTGTGATCCTGCATTATTCAGGAACGCTCCAAATGGACTAGACTGTGATGCGGTTTTATTCTGTGTTCCAAACGCCAGAGTGGTGCTATTCCCAAAAGCTGAACCATTGAATCTCGTGTTACCAAATCCTGAGCCATTACTGGTAGCGGTGGATGACGACTTACCGAAACCGGTGCTTCCAAATGCAGATCCACCAGAGCCCCCAAATCCTGAACTTCCAAATCCTGAGTTTCCAAATCCACTGCCACTCAGTCCCGAACTCCCAAAGCCCGAACTACCGAAACCACCCTGTCCAGTATTTGCAAAACTTCCAGAGCCAAACCCAGAAGGTGTCGACTTGTTCCCCGTTGCAAACGGATTCGATTGGTTTCCAAACGCGCCAGATGATCCAAACATGGCTACAGGAGAACGGGACTTGTCTGTTTGTTTCGTATTTTTTTTTTATTTTTATTTATTTTTTTTATATTTTTTTTTTTTTCCGCTTTGTATTTTATCTACACACTATTCACATTGTATTTGATCGAGTGGCTGCTCTACATTCACTGATCAAAAGGGAAACCTTTTGAGAGCATACACCATATGCATCATGATACACTTTTTTCATCTCTTCAACCACTTGAGGCTTCGTCTTAGATCCATTGCAAATATCCTGTAACAAATTTTCCAAGGCTTTTCTTAAGAATGGTTTTGAGAGCGAAATCCCATTAAATTCCATCTTTTCAAAGCCCTCAATAAGGCCAATGCCTAATGGCGAGGGCTCGATATAATCAACTTTACCCTTTTTCACCTTGGTAACGTACTTTCGCGACAAGATCTTGTCAATGTGCTCTGCAATAGTTGCATCCGTTCCGATACCATTTGCATCCATCAAAGCAATCAATTCCGGCTCAGTCATCAACTGCGGTGGACTAGTTTTGCCTTCCTGCATCAACCCACTGGATACCTTCACTTTTTCACCCATTTGGAAATTTGGCAACAGTTTCGAACTCTCCCATTTTTTATAAGTGTATATGTCTAGATAGTTTCTCTCGGTAACCATGAGTCCACTAGCGGTGAAAAACTCTTCACCACATTTCAACGTTGCCAGTGTCAACATACCTTTGGCATCTTTTGAACAACATGCCAAAAATCGCCGCACCACGTACTCATAAACCTTCTTTTCGTTGGCCAGTGCCAACGAATCAATCGATACGTAATTGACGGGGTGGATTGCTGGATGCGCGTGATCATCATGCGATCCGTTCCTTGGTTGTTCGTGGCCATTCTTTAATAAGGTTTCACTATACGTCCCCCAACGAGGATCTTGTTTTTGTTTTTCAAATAAACCTTTGAAATCCATTGTAGGGGGGTACTTGTCAGTCTCCGTCCTTGGATATGATACGAACCCTCGATTATACAATTTCTCAGCCGCCTCAAGAGTTGCTTTTGCTGACATTTTGAAGAATCTTGCGCAATCCTTTTGTAGTTCGACAGTTGTTAGGGGCAACGGACGATAGTTGGTAGTGGGGTTTGTTTTCAAGTCAGTGACTTCACCGTGTTCATGTTTGAGACATCGTTCATACATTAGTAGAACGTAGAGTCTATCAAATAGGCGCCCTTTCACCCAATTGAATACCGTTCTCTTATTTTCCTTTCGTAGTACCGGCTCAATGTACCAGAATGGTTCCAGCTTGAAACTTTTAACTCTCTTGTATCTATCCACCACAAAACCAAGGGTAGGGAATTGGCATGTACCATAAGAAGCAATCTCCTTTTTATCAATGATGCTGCTAGATTTTAAACTATCCGTCAAGAGCCGCGTGAAGCTTGTGCCAACTCTGAAATCAAGTTCCATGCGGCAAGCAACTGCCGATGCTGCTCTTGTGTCTAATGCAATGGGGGATTTGGCTGCACGAAGAATGTGATTTCGTTCAAGATGAGAAAACTTGCTCCTCCAAACATCACTAAGAAGAATCCGATTATTTCCCTTCCTTGCAGCATCAAAGATCTCTTGACCGATGAATTCCCCTTCGCGATCACAATCTGTCCATATCATCAACTTGTCTGAAGTCCTAGCTTCCGTTGCGATATTATCAAACACGTCTTGTTTTGTTACTTTCGTAATGATCTCGGCAGTGAAAAGTCTCTCGGCAGCACATTTACCCCATTGATACTGAGGTGGGAAATCGAGATTGGTTATATGGCCAACAACGGAAGTCATTGTCACGTCGCAAAGACCACGGTCTGGGAATGCAAATTTAAAGTCGTAGTTTTTGATGTATTTGTTCTTTGAGTTTCGAACCAGTACTCGTCCTCCACCCAAAATGTTGGCCACTTCTTTCGCAATTGATGGTTTTTCTGCCACGCATAGGATCTTCATAGATGGGGGTTATGTGTCACGTTGAGGTGTCGGTTGCTGTAGCTGTTGCTTGGCTTGTTTGTTTCTTTTTGTTTTTTTGTCGTTTTCTTTGCAGATGGAGATCCAGTACGCGTTCGCCACAAAATCAGGCTACGATGGAGAGACACAATGGTGGGTTGGGGGATGTAATATTGGATAGGACAGTAGGATGACCTGCCCCAGTGTAGAGCTCTTCCGTTCTGAGAAGTAGTTGCTTGTGGTAGAGACAGCTATTATAAAGAAGTTGTAATCGAGATTGCTTTTTTGGAATCACTACAAGACGAAGTAGCGTGACAGTCCTTCTCTAGCATCCTCTCAATCTCTATCACCTTTGAGACGATGGTTCTGTCAATTGCGTGGCCATTCTACTTGGTGATATTTTTATTCTTTTCTGTTTCTTTTTGTGTTTTTTTTTTTTTTTTTTGTTTTTTTTTTTTTGGGGGGGGGGAGTTGTCTCTTTGTATTTTAATGTGGCTTCTCGAGATAAGCTCATCAAATCTTTTATCCCACAGCATCCCACACAAAACATCTTCACCAATGGACAATGAATACGAGTCAATAAATTTAGCATCTACTCTCAAAAGTGAACTACCGATTAAGTTACCAAAGAGGTACCAACAACAGATACCTGTTTCAGAGAGTGAGAGTTATGACGATGACGAATTTGAGCATGACCCAGAGGAGTTTATAACAGATAAGCATGCTGATTTGGTGGATGGACCACACTACGACAAGGAGTCTTTGCATCTCAGCAAAGACCAAAGTAGTTTGCTAGCAGATTCGAACAATACATTAAATCCAAGCCTGTTGCAATTGTCAAAGCTTGTGCTACCCCTGGCCCACCAAGACTTTACCGAGCCCATGCAGTATCTTTCAGAACGGATAAAATCTCTTGAAAGGAACCTAATCGAGCAGAGAAATCGTTATAGTCTGCTGCTAAAAGAAGGGGATTCAGATTTGCTCCAGACTAGGTCAAAGATTCAGCAAATATTTCATCAATTATCTGAATGTTACTTTTCCTTGAACGAACTATACTTGAAGGATGTGTCATATACAAAGTCTGTGAGCGCGTACTTTGATGCTTGGAGCTTGAAGCGTGACAAAGTTTTGCAAAAGATACAGAGAGCAAAAAGTGTGGAGAGTACGCATGGGGCAAAACTTGCTGGGTTGTTGAATGAATCCACCAAGATTGATGATGAAATTAGGGAGCTTCAAAACCGCATCGTGCATTTGCAAGAAAAGAAGTCGATTTTGAACAAAGAGATAGATGGGACCACAAGCGTGTTAGAAAGCCGAACTGCTATTTGTGGGGAGAATTTGCGTTACTTAGAACTGAAAGGAAAAGAAGTTTTAATTGATTATCTATCAAGCAATGGGTTTCCTGGGTCCGATCTAGCAAACTTGATCAAAGAAAGAGCCGTTGACCTAGCATTCACCATGCCTGAAAAAGAAGAGGGCAATGGGGAATCTCATCACTCAATGGCCCAAATTGTTTGCAACAAAGATCCCGTCAATGACACCAAGCTGGAGCCATCGATTGGAATGAAGCCTTATGAGCCGGCTCCCGAGACAACCACCATCGACACCTCATCCCAAACCATCCCTTCTACACAAGACGATTCACTAAGGAATCATGGACATGGACCAACACCTTTCGAAAAAGGGTATGCAACCGGCGCACAAAATTCAAAGTTAGTCAAGAACCAAGTCCAATCTATCATCCAAAAGGTACTTCTGCGCGTTCCAAAAAGAAGTGAATCGCCACAACCGAAACTGAACCTTGGCTCCACTATGACTTTAGATGTGGAGCCTATAACTACTTTCTTACGACTACGAATAGACGGTTTGACCAATCAAGTGTCTGGTACGGCAAAGATGGCTGCATTATACCATGAATGTGATAAACAATGGTCTCGAATTGGACATATAATGTCTTTACAAGAAGAGCGGCTTGAAAAGGTTTTACAGGAGTCCAACTCTGCTGGTGATATTGAGCCAGTGCTACATACATTGACTCAAACTCGAGATCAATTGGAGCTGGCGGCAAGATCAATCTCTTTTCTGGATCTGCGAGACATATTAACGCAGTTGGTCAATAGTGAGATCAATGCGGTGATTGACGCAATATCAATCGTGAAACAACAAAATGAAAGACATCTGAAGCAGAGTTGATTTGATAATGCTAATGTGTAAATTGTGTATACGTAATGTAAATGCTATTGTAATTATGGTTTTGTTTAATGTCTCGGTGGTGGTCTCCTTTTGATAAACATGGAGGGTGTCTTGGGCTTTGGCGGAAGAACAACACCAGAAGAAGTGGGGTCGAGAGGTCGTTTTGGAAGGTTACCTGATAATGCAGGTTGAGGACCATGGCTGGCAGTGGTACCCCCACCACCATCGACGACTTTGTATTTAGTCGGTTGCCGTTCAGGCGGCTTCGCAGTGACTGGACTGGCAATCGTGGCAACATTGCTTTCCTTTACCACCGCAGGACTTGTCCCTCCTGGTCTAACAGGAAGAACTCCCGAGGATGACGGAACTATGTGTTTGGTAGAGCCCACTGCGTGAGGACTGGAATATTTAGGTAGAGCAGGTGCGGCTCCATTCAATTTCCTCGATGAGCTCTGACCGCCATCAGTTTTTTGCTTCTTGTTTTCAGATCGCTGGCCATCCATTTGAGGTCTTTTTGGAAGTTTATCAAGAGGGTTAAATGATGAAGTAGCAACATAGTTGCTCAAAAATCCCGAATGAGCTTTACTTATTGCCTTCCTGTTTTCAGCATCCTGTATCAATCGTTTCCACACTGTATCCCTCTCCAAAGAAGACTTATTTCCCAATATCCACAATGTTGTGCACGCTCTCGTGAGGGCCACATTCATACGGCGAATATCACTCAAAAATCCAACACTTCCACTAGAACTTGCCCGAACACAGGACATGATAATGATTTCCTTCTCTTGTCCCTGGAACCCATCCACAGTATTGAAATCTATCTCATTAAAAATAAGTCTCCCATAGGCTCGTTCAAACACCCCTTTGATAGTTCTAATCTGTTCCTTATATGGCGATATAATACCAATTTTACCAGCAATCTCCCCTTGAGGAATCATCGTCATCATTTTCTGTACCAATTGCAAACATACTTTGGCTTCCTCGGTGTTGAAAAACGAACGTGACAATTCGTTTCTCTCGTGTCTACTGACAATATCAAAGAACCTATATGGCGACAAAGGTTCAACCAGATGCCACGGCCGTGTGTTTTTCTCCTCCATTCCAGGTCCATCAATCAATTTGGATTGATAAAACTCAGCGCTTGGAAATCTTGATATCATAGGATGCATCCTGTACTGCGTGTTCAACAAATATACTGATTCGGGATAGTTTTTTTGCATTCGAACAAACAAACTCTGATCATAATTGAAAGATGCAGCAGATTGTGACAATACTGTTGGTGGTAACTGCTTTGGGTCACCAACCATGATACACTTTTTACACCCATATCGGAGCGGAATAATGGCAGCCAGTTCTAAACACTGACATGCTTCATCAATAATCACTTGATCGAAAGTCGCCGACAAATTGGCAACCAAATCGTGTGCAGATCCAGACAAAGTAGCACATAATATGTTTGCTTCGGACAATATTTTTGCCTGGATATTTCTTCTATCAATTTCCCTGTTTCTGTAAGCAATGGATGTTTGCTCACGCTGCTGGTCAAGTTTTTTCGCAAGTTCACTTCTCTCTCTATTGATCTCACGTAACTTCTGTTGAACACGATCCCTCTCCTTCATATCCATGGTTTCGTCATTAAGTCGTGCTCTCAATCGGTCTTTTTCCTGAGTTTTCTTGGTAAGCTCGGGTCTAAGATTTGGATCGGTAACAACTTCCAGTTGTTTGCTTTGCAACTCTTTGTCAACCAACTCTTCCAAAGTCAAGTCTTTTACTGCAGGATTAATGGCATCACTTCTTCCAAGTCTGACAACCTTTAAAGGCATGTGCTCTCCTTTTGAATTCCTAACTCCATTCCTCAACCTGAGCACCAATTCATCAACAGCAGCGTTACTTGGCGCGCAGATTAAGATCTTGCCCTTGGAAGATGGAGAAGGTAATTTGGAGGGCGTCTCAATGGCTTTCTCGTTGGACCCTTGAGACAAGGAGTATCCAACGATTCCCAAAATAGTCTTTGTTTTACCAGTCCCTGGAGGTCCTTGAATTAACGAAAATCCCTCACTTTGGTAAGACCCAATTATCGCCCTGGCCTGCGATAAATTCACATCATAAAGCTTATGCGTATGTTCGACATCTTTGTCGTCAACATTCTTTGGAATGGTGGGAGTTGCCAGAATGATTGAATCCACCAAGTCATAATATTGCAAACCATGCAACGAAGAATATTCCCTCTCTGCAGTTATCATCTGAATCACCTTCATTCCAATAATTGTTCCCTTTGGGGTCAATAAACCCGCAATCGGCGACGTCTTGGCAATTCTCAAAGTCACATCTGAATACTCAGGGTTGACATATTTGATCTCCTTGATTTTGGCCAAACAGCAAGGCGTCGCGGGAGATTTCAAGTAATTTCTTCTATCCTTAGTCTGAATAACTGATTCGTTATCACATGCAATCACGAGCAAGTCAGATTCCGTCAACTTTCTGTTTTCAATTGTCTTTTTGCTCATTGACGTGAAAACGTCAAAAAAGCCGTCAACAGAAGTCCTTGTCCCAACCACAATTTCAAAGGGATCCTCGTCTGCTGTATCTCTAGCTGCTTGAATCAGTTGCCAGCATTCAAGCATAAACAATGGCTCCATCGTCGAAACGTATTCCTTGACATCCTTGTAAGATTCTTTCACCTTGGCGTAAGCAGACTTGTCGTTTGTGGGGTAATCATTTCTAAAGTTGTAGTTCCATTGCAAAATAGTGAGGTACAAGGGTTTTAGATCCACATTCAATCTTGACCTCATCTTCTCCTTCTCCAGCTTTTCCGCCAGCACTCTCTTACGAGGCATACGATCGATCAGACTGATAACTTTCCCATTCAAATCAACCTCTGTAATTTTTGAAACTTTCTTTTTGGTGACAAAAAGGTCACTTGTGTCAATATCTTCTTCGTCATCTGACGAGTCAGACGTGACTTTCTTCTGTCTAAGCGTATTCAAAGACCGACCAACAACCGGAGGTGCCTTCTTTGAATTGAACCCTGCTGGACGTGGAGGCGCGGGGGCATGCATGGGGACTTTGCCTGTTTTGGCGGCAGCACCACGAGAATTGTTTAGCTCCTTTCGAATATTATCGAGACTATTGAGACCCTTTACCTCTTTGGGAGGAGGAGGTGGTGGTGGCGCAACGGGAGGCTCTTTCGAAATGTGCCCAAATCTGGCCAAGGTTTGTTGTTGTTTTGAACTTGCTCGGAATTTGGATGCAGTGGTTGGGGACACGTCTTTCACAAATTCAACATCCGGACTTTCTTTGGCATTAGCCTCCTCGACTATTTTGTTGACCAAACTTTCGTTCACAGACCTTGCTCGAGAAATGATCTCATTTCGTTGCTCCTCTTTTAGTTTGTTATTAAACTTTTTAGCTTTAACACCAAAGTTTGCAAGCTTTTGAATTATACTATCCTCCATGACAAAGTTTCGGTCATTGGCTAAGTCAAATACTTTAAACACAAGAGCCACACACGAGTCCAAAAGAGCCGTGTCTCCCAATTTGAGCCATGTCACCATGTACTGAAATGCATCCATAAACACGGCAAATAAGTCTGACGCCGATTTCTTGTCAGCGTAGGGACTTATAGCATCAGAAAAGGGACGAAAAGATTCCAACAACTGATTACTCAAATCCAAAGTATCCCTAGTAAAGTCGACCAATTCATGCATATGATACTTTGTAGCCCAAAACATCGCTTTCTGATAGATCATAATAAGGAACAACAAAGAAGAACTCCAAAATTTTTCAATTTCCTTGTAAGCGCCCTCGATATCCGGTAACGACAAGATCGAAGTCAATGGATCAGTCAATGCCTCCACAACATCCATAGTAATTCTGACCGCCTTCGGCGTTGGTTCAAAAGCCTCCAAATTGGTCAAAGTGGAAAGGCCGAAATTGATCGCACTTAGGGTTAGCTTGAAATTGCAACTCAAGCTTTCCTCAATGCATTCTAATCTTCCGCTTCCGTCGTAGACTTGGCTCAATAGTTCTAAAGCAGATTGAGACAACAATGGAGAGTATATACAGGACCATACGGCGTTGACACTGTGTGAATCAACCATTATTTCCTTCAAAACTGTTTGAGGGGCAAGACTGATGTTGCCGAATATCAGGTTAACGTATTTTATGACCACTTCCAAAGATTTTCCATGCTGTTCTTTAGCTGCTGATATTTTCTTGTTAACTCCTTCAACCTTTGTAGGATGAAACTTCACCACTACAATCAATTGTTGAAAGCTTTTGATGATTTCCTTTGCAAACTTTGAATCCGAATTGATTCTTGACTTTGCCATAGCTTCCCAGAGTAATGGGAATGTGTCAAATAATACGGGAATCTTGTATTCGAGCAACAACACACTATTGTGGCCCAAAATAGCAACATCATACCTAACACATTTGCCAATAAGTTCCACAGCATGCTCGCTCTTTGAGTTTACTGCTAGCGCAACTAAAGCTTCGCTGACACAATCAATCCTTGCTCTAGACTGTCTAAATGACACCAACTTCACTGTATAATTTGCATCACTCAAGTCGCCCTCGTCGGTAAAGTCAAAAGCTCTGTTGAATAACTTGCAACCAAAATTTCTCAAGTAAGTTTGTCTTTTCATTGCTTGATCACTTGCTGTATCTGTGGATGAAAAATTCAACAAAAACACGCCCAACTTCGAACAAACGCTCTCCCTTTCAGACAGAGGGACAGATTCAACCATTCTTGACATCCACTGTAGCATATCGCTCAATGTCCAATTGGTACGTGCATGCTCGTCCACGGAAGCTTGTAGCAATAGCTTGCAAAATGCTGGATTGAACTTGATGCAGTCCAATATTTGCAGGTAATTTATAGGTCCGGTTAGTGACCAAAAGCGGGAATTCAAGCGACGCAATAGTTTTTCCAACACTTTCAATAATATTGGAAGTGGTTCATTCAAACTTGACATTAAACAATTAGCGAGAAGTCTTGTCGCTGGATAAAGTCTCAAATTCTTGTATTGACTCATGACTTCAATATCCTTTGGCTGATTTACCCTGGTTTCAAATGCATCATCGTCAACAAGGTCCACAAGATCATTAAAGTTTTCCCAAAACTTGATCGCATTTCGGTCGCTGTAGAAAGATGGATCCTGGATTTGGTACAAGTGAATGCTGAACTCCTGAATAACTGCTTCATTGAGTCTAACAGTGTTGTACACTACTTGATTATGCCTCAATTTCATGATCCATCGCTGCACCCACGACTTGTCAATAGTTGTACCTTCGAATAGTAGATAAACTAAACCGGGAAGCAAACCTGATGGTAAACAATCGTCCAGCTGTTTAATCAATCTTGAAACAATGCTCGAAAATGTATCGTTGATTGCACTGAAATGTCTTAAAATGTCTGGATTATTCATACACCAATGAATTGCAATCTTGAGCAGTTCATCCGTATCTGTCCCTGTGGATTCCATTTTCAAATATGATGTTTTTATCAATGGCAATAGCACGGAACTTTCCCATGCTGTGATTGTATCCAAAAATTTCTGAACATTGCTGATTGGGATTTTACGCTTAATGGCAAAGCTCAACCTCAACTCTGCTTTACCTTTGCTGAAGTAACGTAGACATTTTTCACAAGTAGATAGACATTTGACAATGCTGGGTTGTAGATCTGGACCGTATGAGCTATTTGGAAATGAAAAAAGGATCAACGAGTACGTAGCAATAGGGTATAAGCGTTGGTTGCAGAACCAATGATCTGTTGACGTATGTTGCATCAAGTAACTATAACTACGAGTGATGGCTTGCTCGTGCACAGATGCATCACTAGCCCCATCGAGAGACCTTCTAATTAATGATGTTAGTTCTTCATACTCCTTATCATCACTACTAGCCTCGTGCGATACACCTGTCATTTGTGAAGTAAACGTGGGAATGTCTTTAACTTCGGTTTTTTTAAAAAAAAGCCCCCCAAACTTCCTCTTTTCAAAGTGGAGCCACTTCTGATGACTGTTCTAATCTTGGTTGAGTTTTGGAAAAGAGAACGGTTATGAGACGCGTATCCTTCCGTATGCTAGTTGCTTTTGTAGACAGATGTATCACTTTGGTTGTGGGTTATGAAAAGAAAAAAGAAAAGAAAAAAAAAAAAAAGAAAATTTGATCAGAGACGCATCATTTACTTTACACCCACGCTACCTGTACTACACTAGTGCACAAACACATTCAAGGTTGATGGAGTCAACGTCCCTCTACACTTTCTACGTTACTGTTGTTTGAAAACGCTTCTACCAGAAACGTAGTTTTTGCGTGTGACAAAACAAAAATCTATGTGCAAAAAGTACAGGGAAAGCGTCATCTTACTCCCTAGCTCTGGAATGTTCCTTATCTAGCAACCCACCTTCTTTCCGCTCCTTGCCCTGTTCAACGTACCGTTTTCCAAATAGTAAAACTAGCAACTTCTCGTATAGCCTGAAGAAATACCCAGCAGCTACAATTAAACCTCCTGCAATGGTTCCTAATTTGGCAATGAACTGTAGGAATGGAATCCTCTTTTCCCGTATAATCAACTTTATTGGCTCAAATTCGTATGCAAAATAAATACCTGGTATTCCCCGTGGTCTTTTAGTTTGTGGATCAACTCTGACGACATGGTGATTTTCAGTCAAAGAATATTGGGTTGTATCAACCTCTAAACCTAGTTTTTCATACAACGTGGGCACAACTTTTGAAAAGTACAGGTAAATTTGCAAATTTTCCTCGGTGACTTTCCCCGTAGCATCCAACGGATTGTTCAAGAAGGGGAAGAAATCACCGTACGAAAACTCTTGTATAACGTGGCTGAAATTAAGTGCCTCTAGTGGAACAAACAGCCTGTCTCTGTATCCGAACCCTTTAGCTGTTATTCTAAAATCTCCCTTAACTTGATTGACGGGTATGGAGCCAAATATGTGGCAAGCCGGCGCACCTTCGTTAACCCTGTGGCCCAATTGACTAAACTCTGCTCTCAAGCTCTCTTGCATGACCTCATCCAAATTGGGAGTTTCATGGAAATCATTCGGGTTGTTGATGGAAAATCCAGGTGGAATGAAAAACTTGATCCCTTCAAAGTTCAAGGTCTCTCCAGCAAGAAATCTATCCTTGGTGATATCCTCAACATTCGTGTGTAGAAACTCGCATGGCATTGCCACAATCATATCAAGGTTTATACTCAAATCCGATCGTATGACGTCGTCGACTAAAAATTGTCTATCAACATATCCACCTATATACCCACCAATTTCAACCCACAATATAAGTAAGCCAAAAAAATATGTGAGTAAACTCGAGAGTCCACCTCTTTGAGACCGCACCTGATGCTGTGGATCTACTTTTGGGAACGCGTCAAAAGTTTTCACCCTTTTGGAAAAGGCGTCCATTAAGAGTGTATGTGGGGATGGATGTTGATAACGAACGGTGTTTCAATGTGCGTGGAGGAAGCTGTTTATTTTATTTTTTTTTTTTTTTTTTTTTCTTTTTTCAATTGACCACGAGTTTTGTTCCTCAAAGAAGTCTCGGCTGAGAAGTCGCTTTTGTAATGATTGTCGAAAATCTTATCATGCAAGGTTCAAGGCATGCGTAAGAGTTGGAGACGATAATGGAAAGTATGGAGGAATAGCAATAGATGATTTAAAAGCGTAGCTACGTAAACCTATAATATATAGAAAAGATATAAAAATAAAAAAAAAATAAAAAAGTTCCTTTTTACTTTCGGCCCTTTTTTTTTTCTTTCTTTTAATCTTTTCTGGAAAATATGGTAGGAATGCACAAAACTGACAAAA